CTGAAAGTTATAGGATTAAATCATTGCACCTTCAAAAACATGTCATTATTCATTACTATTTCTATTGCTAATGCAACTGACACAAGATAATTGATATTTTATAATACGAAGTCAAATTTGGTATATCAATGCTTTCAAGATGAAGATGTAAATATAGATGTGACATTATCAACTCTGTGAGGTTAAGATTTACCTTCTCGTAAATAACTTATGCCTTGGGGTGTTGCTTTTTCTATTTGAGAGTTGCACAATTCCTTCACAACATGTGCAACATAACTAAATATTGTGATTAATTGCATGTATAACAATTTTTATATTTGTTATAACATTTTCTGAGTAAAGTACAGATTCTCGTACTTTTTTAGAGTCCCGTCCGGAAATGGAACCCACACTCCCAGAGTGGCACCTAAACTTCCTCACATGCGTTTAATTAGCCACTGGTGATTAACTAGAAAAATATAATGTTATTTGTAGGTTTGATATTCTTGATATTGCATTAAAAAACTCTATATGTGTATGTCAGGACCTACCCGTATGGTCTGTTGTGATGCTATGGGGGTGAGGATTTGTGAGGCCCGGGGGTGGTACAGAGCTGGGTTTACCAGACCCCACACAGCACTTATACACGTACATACAACCACTTCCAAGGATTAGAAGTCCAATGAGACAACCGAACACCACGCCAACAACTGCCACGGAACTGTGGAAACAAAAGTGGTCATACAGTAAACTACGGTTATAACGAACACGCATATAACGAACTGACCGATATAACGAACTTATTTTTCAGTCCCGACCATTTGTTGTACAGTATAAATGTCGTATATATGCTTATAACGAACTACGGTTATTACGAACTAAAATTAGTGGCCCCTTCGAGTTCGTTATAACCGTAGTTTACTGTACTTTTAACGTATTAAAACAAATGTAAGTTAAATTGGTGTCATCACCCAGTGTCATTACTGATTTTCAGTGAACAATTGATGTAATGTTTCCTTTTTACGCCGAATTGAATTTATTTGGGCGGAAAATTGACACTCGCATTGACGCATTGACCATATATATTTAATTACCCTACACGTGGCTCGTGGCCAAAGTGTATGTATTTTGTCGTTGTATACAAATGCCTTCCCTTTTGACGACGGGTTTACAAACCACAATGCGGTGGCATTTACACTGTATATAAAGTAGACTTTGATAAAAGATGATGAAGATTTTTTGGAGGAAGTAAACACATCTGTGCGTGTGTACATGACACTTCTTTCATTATTATGAACTAGGCTCAACGAAATCCTAACTTATTCTTTCGAAGTGTAAAGGTCGCAATGATGAGTGAGTGAATCGGATTTTATGGCGTTTTAGCAATTTTCCGGCAATATGACGGGGAAACACCAAAAATAGGCTTCAAACATTACCCATGTGGGGAATCGAATTTGGGCCTTCGGTGGGACGAGTGAACGCTTTAACTACTGGGCTACCCAACTATCTTCACACTGAAGAACGTATCTGTAAGTAGATCTGCATACGTAAATCATATGTGATCCCAAAGCATTTGTTAAGGTAAGGCATCTAGCTGACTACAGCCGTAGGCTATTTGGAGACGTTGAGGCTCATTGACATGTGTCTATTTGCTAATGTTGATTTATTGCGCAGAACGATGTTACCGATTTCGTTTCGTTGTCTACATTGAACGGGGCGGTCGGGTAGCCCAGTCGTTAAAGCGTTCGCTCGTCACGCCGAAGACCCGGGTTCGATTCCCGACATGGGTACAATGTGTGAAGCCCATTTCTGGTGTCCCCCGCCGTGATATTGCTGGAGTATTGCTAAAAGCGGCATAAAACCATACTCACTCACTCACTCTACATTGAACGTTTATTGTCTAAATGATCAAATAAGCTGCGAGTTGTTATTGTTGACATATTTATTTGTTAGAATTGACTTCAGTATTATTTGCGTTTAAGGAGGTAAAAAGTATCGAAGTTCATTCTTAAGGAGCCAGTAACGAACAGTTCCTTAAGTCAGACTTAGATTCTGTAAAATAACGTTACACCACAGGTCAGTGCGTAAGATACACGCTGCTGTGTAAACTAATAGTATTTCAGCTTTACCACAACGTATCGAGTAATCTGTTCGTTTTTCGCCTTAAAACCAACAAGCTATTGTGTAATATAGGGAGTTCGAACCTGCCACCAACGGATCCATGCACAACTGAGACCAATCCTCCAAGCAAATTGCGGCGCACTAACCATTAAGTCACCTATCGTCCACAAAAAAAGGAGGCGGTCGGGTAGCCTTGTGGTTAAAGCGTTCGCTCGTCACGCCGAAGACCCGGGTTCGATTCCCGACATGGGTACAATGTGTGAAGCCCATTTCTGGTGTCCCCCGCCGTGATATTGCTGGAATATTGCTAAAAGCGGCGAAAACCATACCCACTCACTCCACAAAAAAAGTGACTGATCGTGGGTGTAACCATAACGTGCAACTTCTTTAAGTATCTAAAGCGAGACACGGTGATACTAAGGAATGGAGAAGGTAAGTGCCAGTTGCCTATTTACTGGAATCAAGTGACAGATGCAAGGCCATGCATTTCTACCTGTCATTAACATCTGCTGTGTTCGTGCAACATCTTCGATTCCTGCCGGAGTCGCAGCAGTCGTCACAGTAGCGGTAGATGTATCTCCCGGTTGCGTGCACCAAGCACCTCGTGGCCAGGCTACCTACAACAGTAATCCATGCGTATGAAGTACTCAGGTCGCAGGTATTCATCTCCAATCAAAAAGAATATGTTGTGTATTAAGCCGGAGTCCACACAATGTTGAAGACATACCACGGCTGCTTGCAAACAATGGAATCTGGATCAGGCAAACCAGCTGTTGATTATATTTTATTTGATTCCTGGCATGACTAAGGGACGCAACTGAGACCTATTCCGACCCTGAATCCATCCTCGGGGTCATTAACACGCGTACGTTTATTATGCGCGCAGACGGTATTGATGTGTATATGTCCGTGTGTGAGTGACAGTGTATCTGTGTGTGTCTCCTTGCGTATGTGTGTGTGTGTGTGTGTGTGTGTGTGTGTGTGTGTGTGTGTGTGTGTGTGTGTGTGTGTGTGTGTGTGTGTGTGTGTGTGTGTGTGTGTGTGCGTGTGCGTGTGCGTGGGTGTGCGTGGGTGTGTGTGTGTGTGTGTCCGTGTGTCTGTGTCATGTATGTGATCGGTGTGTGTGTGTCCATGTGTGTGTTTCTGAAAGTGTGTCTGTGTGCGTGTGTCTGTGTCATGTATGTGATCGGTGTGTGTGTGTCCATGTGTGTGTATATATGACAGTGTGTCTGTCTGCGTGTCCGTGTGTCTGTGTCATGTATGTGATCGGTGTGTGTGTGTCCATGTGTGTGTTTCTGACAGTGTGTCTGTGTGCGTGTCCGTGTGTCTGTGTCATGTATGTGATCGGTGTGTGTGTGTCCATGTGTGCGTTTCTGACAGTGTGTCTGTGTGCGTGTCCGTGTGTCTGTGTCATGTATGTGATCGGTGTGTGTGTTTCCATGTGTGTGTTTCTGACAGTGTGTCTGTGTGCGTGTCCATGTGTCTGTGTCATGTATGTGATCGGTGTGTGTGTGTCCATGTGTGTGTTTCTGACAGTGTGTGTGCGTGTCCGTGTGTCTGTGTCATGTATGTGATCGGTGTGTGTGTTTCCATGTGTGTGTATATATGACAGTGTGTCTCTGTTTGTGTGTGTGTTTCCATGTGTGTGTATATATGACAGTGTGTCTGTCTGCGTGTCCGTGTGTCTGTGTCATGTATGTGATCGGTGTGTGTGGGTCCATGTGTGTGTTTCTGACAGTGTGTCTGTGTGCGTGTCCGTGTTTCTGTGTCATGTATGTGATCGGTGTGTGTGTTTCATTGTGTGTGTATATATGACCGTGTGTCCCTGTTTGTGTCCGTGAATGTGTGTCATGTATGTGATCGGTGTGTGTGTTTCCATGTGTGTGTATATATGACCGTGTGTCCCTGTTTGTGTCCGTGTATGTGTGTCATGTATGTGATCGGTGTGTGTGTTTCCATGTGTGTGTATATATGACCGTGTGTCCCTGTTTGTGTCCGTGTATGTGTGTCATGTATGTGATCGGTGTGTGTGTTTCCATGTGTGTGTATATATGACAGTGTGTCCCTGTTTGTGTCCGTGTCATGTATGTGATCGGTGTGTGTGTTGTGTGTGTGTGTATATATGACAGTGTGTCCCTGTTTGTGTCCGTGTATGTGTGTATGATACTGTGTCTCTCTATAACCAGTTCTCGATGAACAAGACAACAGCTGGGCAACTGAATCCCCCTTCCCCCCGTTTCTTACGAGTGAGGGGATGTGTACCCCGCACCAAATTTTAAACAAAACTCAAGTTATATCAAATTGTGAGACAACACAAATGGATTTATACATTGTACTATTGTGAGGAGTCGAACTTGTTCTTGTTCTTTAGCATGACGAGCGAACCTTTTATCCACAGTGCTACTTCACAGCAACTTGGCCACACTAAACCCTGGTTTAGTTGACAGTGGCGTCAACTTGGATTGACGTGTGGTCGTCTGCTTGGTTTCCACCTCTGACACCCCCTGATCACAATTAACCACACCTGTAAAGACCCGGGGTAGAATTGATCTTCAGCAACCCATGTATGTCGTCAGAGGCGACTGACGGGATCGGGTGGTAGATCGATGCTCACGATGTCAATCACAGAATTGTCTGGTCCAGACTCGATTATTTACAAACCGCCGTCATACAGCTGGAATATTGCTGAGTGCGGCGTTAAACAACAAACAAACCAGTAACACCATGGGGTTTTTCACAATAGTATGAGAAAGGTTTATGAATAAGCTGTACATTATTTAGGGGGCGCGGGTAGCCCAGTCGTCTAAGGCGCCGCGATTCGTTGTGCAGAGTTGCGTCCCTTGGGCACGCCAGAAACCTATGATTCTGAGTTCGAATCCCGGTTCGACCCGATTATGTTTCTAGGTTTGTCAGCACCATACCCGTGCTCGTGGGTTTCACCGAAGTGGTAAACGTCTGAGACCTGCATCACTTCGGGTTTTCCTCCCACATTAAGCTGACACGCCGCGATATAACTGGAATACTGTTAAAAGCGGCGTTAAACCCAACTCACTCACACTGTACATCTTTTACTCAATATATCCAAGTGTCGAGTTATTTCAAACACAGATCCATTTGTCACACTGGTACTCAAAAAACATCTCACTATGATCGTTCTAAGACATGTTTCTTTTAATATAAAAACATATTCATATGATAGATAGCAGTACTTACCCTCAGTCTGAAGCAGAAGAAAGATAATCACAACAGAGGCTCTACTCGTGTTTATATGTCGACATAACGTGTCCATAGTAATAGCGTTTGTTGACTTTAGTGAACGCGGCGTTGATAAAAAGGCATTTGTTAATCTTCATGATGGCTATGATATCTTTGATTATCAGCGGTGACTATGGCAACAGGCCGAACAAGCATAGGCAAGTATCGCCCACAGATCCGATCTTTGTGGGACTACTGACGACACGGATCGTGTCAAAACGTAAATTATACTACGTGATCAGCAGACAATGTCTTGGTTTTGTATTACCTTAAACAATGTGGTCATGCTATTGCAGATGTAGGTTGCCCATACGTTGCAATTACAGACGGGAAACCATGCCAATTGCTTTTATGAATACATGTTTATCTCATTAAAAGTTAATTATATTAATAATTGAATACTATTTAATGAGAGGTGTGGTGAAATGGGGTTTAACGTCGCGTTCAAGATTATTGCACTTATATAGCGACGTGCATGTACCTGTGCGTGTCTGCTTGAACTAGTTCGGACTAAAGCCGATTTTATAGTGCTCGCCAAACTGAGATACCATGCTGTAGTTTGACATGGATACCCCACTCAGTGAGTGAGTGAGTTTGGTTTTACGCCGCTTTTAGCAATATTCCAGCAAATTCACGGCGGGGGACACCAGAAATGGGCTTCACACATTGTACCCATGTCGGGAATCGAACCCGGGTCTTCGGCGTGACGAGCGAACGCTTTAACCACTAGGCTATCCGACCGCCCCACCCCACTCAGACACAGTATACCGACTCCGAGCCGACCAGTCCTTGTTTTAGCCCCTTAATGCCGAGTGCCAGACAGGATAACAACAAGTACCATCTTTTAACGTCTTTTGGTATGACGTGGCCGGGGATCGAATCCCGTACCTTTCACTCTCCGGGCGGACGCTCTACCACTAGACCACGGAGGCGGTCTTTTTAATAAGAAGTACCATGTATTGTGATATACATAAAGTGAACCCTCGTTAAGCCGGACAACTTTAGTTCGCAAATCTCGTGAACCGGATAGTTACTGTTCGGAATGTTTGTGTACAGTATCCGTGTCTCCTTATCCGGAAACTTGATCGACTCAGGGGAACAGTACCATCTGGAATTAGCGGGGTTTTCTGTATTGCTAAATACTGAAGCGTCACATATTAATAAACCATTTGGTATTTATACCCTGTGTAAGGTTGTAATATAATCCTACCTGGTTATTGTACACAGCTACGACGTATTGACTACTTTTAGAGACGGCTCGGTGCCCATATTGTCGCAATCATAAGTCATATTAGGCCACATCAAATTGAATATTTGCTCGTTGGAATCAACGCCTCTTTAGAAAACTGTATTGTGTTCTCGATGGCTATTTATCGGTATTTAAAAATTGGTTTGTTGTTTTTGGGGGGTGGCTTAGGATCGAGATTGGTGTCAAAGGAGGGGGGAGGTTTCAGTTCCTGTTTTCATACTATTGCTTATATATTGTATATTGTTTTCTTTCGTATTTTTGTGTTACTGTTCTTGTTCTAACAGATTGAGGTGATTGTTTACGTGTATTGTTCTTTCCGCATTTGTTTATTTTATTGTAATTGGTTACTTTTAAATATTTTAATATTATAAAAAGCATTTGGGGAGGGGGATGTTATTGATAAATAGTTTATGGGATACCTACATTTACCTACCTTGTAACAAAACTATACCAAAATATGCTTAGAGCAAATATAAGCACATCTTATAGTAGTTATTAATGTTAACACAGTCTATTGATCATAATATGTATATAAAAGGCATGCATTAATCACAAGAGTTATTGAACAGTTATTGAGAAGGTTGTCATTCTAAAACTATAAACAAATGATTGCTTATATATGCAATATATATGTGCCGGTTGGGATTCTAGGTCAGAAGTGCTCCAGAGCAACCTATTGCGGTAGTTAGAGGCGACCAAAAGAATCGGCTGGTCAGCCTCGGTGACTTGGTTGATTGTGTGTCGTTGTACCCCGACGGCGGGGATCGTTGCTCATCATATCGACCACTGGATTAGCTGGTCCAGACTTTCCGTACATTTTTACAAGTGAACATTTGACTTCGTTTAGTGACGAGTGCCACGGCGGGGCGTATACCTATTCACCTATTCGCGAACACCTGGTATTTAATAGTGATTCATAAACCCCTGCTCGGGAAATTTTCGGAATCGTAAAATACCTTTTAGCACAGTTGTATTATGAATATTGAATGAGTTTTGTCTCTTTTACTTATATAACATCACTAGCACCACTGGTGTTTATCTATATATAACAGCCATACTTGGCATCAAATTATGGTGTTATTGTCACCCATATTGTCGTCCTCATTCCAACAAATAACACTGCATATCTTTGGAAGACATTTTTATTGTATCGGAAACATAGACACTAATACAATACACACAGAAAAAACATATATTTTAAAATTAAACTGCATTATTTCTAATTTATATGAGTTGGAAGGTTATCCAAAAGAATATGAATGCATTAGCTTATCAAGAATGTCCACGTTCTGAAGCATATTCTTGGAAACAGTTTAATAATGCTACAACAACTACCGACTGCTTCAAACGACAATGTTAAGTAAGTTATAGTTTCAAAGATATATTTTGGTTCAGATGGGTGTACTTGATTCAGATGGGTATACATGGTTCAGATGTGTGTAAATAGTTCAGATGGGTGTACATGGTTCAGATTATTGTACATGAACAGATGCATGTACATTCTTTAGATGGGTGTACGTAGTTGAGATGGATTTACATGGTTGAGATGGACGTACATGTTTCAGATGGGCTTGAGATGGGGTTGTGTAAAGACCAAAAATAAGGCTCTCATAAGAAAAATATGCGTTATATGTTAAGGTGGACTCTATGTCTGGAGGATAAGGTTAAACAGGAGCCGTACTGTCCCAAAGCTTGTTTAAGTTCCAGTTGGCGGTTGGCAGAACAGTGGTGGTCCCTGTCTGGATGGAGGTTGGTAGTCAGGTGGTGGTCCTTGTCCTGGAGGAGGTTGGTAACCAGGGGGTGGTCCTTGAGACTCTGGGGGAGGTGGATAAGCAGCAGGTCCTGTTTGGGGGTGATAAGCTGGTGGTGCTCCAGCTTGACCTGGTGTGGATAGGAAGGCTGATGGTGCCGCAGGGGGATACGCAAGGGATGTGTAGGCAGGATGAGGCCCCTGGGCCAGGGGGTACGGAGGTGGCGCACCTGTGTCGGATGACAAATACCAGTAATATCGCACTATTCTTGGTAATACAGGGGAGGTACGCAAACGTACGAAACCGTAAATTACGTTTGGTAAAAACAACTAATCAGCCTGCTTCCTTATCACTGTATGTATTAAACTTGTCAGTTTAAGAGGGTGAGTGAGTGAATGAGTGAGTTGGGTTTAACGCCGCTTTGAACAGTATTCCAGTTATATCACGGCGTGTCAGCTTAATGTGAGAGAAAAGCCAGAAGTGACGTGTACCACTTTCGTGAAACCCACGAGCACTGGTATGATGCTGACAAACCTAGAAACATAATCGGGGCGAACCGGCATTCGAACCCACATCACAGGTTGACCAAGGGACGCAACTTTGCCCAGCGAATTGCTGCGCCTTAGACGACTGGGCCACCCGTGCCCCTCAGCTGAGGAGAAGTAGATGAGAGAGTGCATATTTATTGAATGAATACACATGAAAGGAATACATTCCTGGCGTTTAAATTCAGACAGTGTCCGTGCTGATGCCTACCGCTTGTATGGGCGACTACAGTTGTCTGTGGGTGAGGACGTATGACGCGCCCTGGTTCACCTTTCTTCTTCAAGATTATACAGACAAGGGTAGCAATGAAACCGACGATGATGAGGACGCTGACTACCACTATGGCAATGAAGTAGCTCGTCGCAAGCGACCCAACTGTATAGGGTGAGATGATGGGGCTGAGGAATAACAAGAGATAATGCCATTCTGTAATTGAGACTGATGAAAAATGGAAATTATTGTCTTATAAACAAACTTTATTGCCGGTAGACATATACTGTGCTACATGTTGCAGAATATAGTTAATCATACGTAACCTGGAGCAACACTCTCTGTGACAGGTTGATCCACAACAGGAGAGAACGCTATACGTTACCTGGAGCAACACTCTCTGTGGCAGGCTGATCCACAACAGGAGAGAACACAATACCTTAACTGGAGCAACACTCTCTGTGGCAGGCTGATCCACAACAGGAGAGGACACAATACCTTAACTGGAGCAACACTCTCTGTGGCAGGCTGATCCACAACAGGAGAGAACACAATACCTTAACTGGAGCAACAATGCAATTAATGGGCCCGCCCCTGGATAAAACGCCATACGTCACCTGGAGCAACACTGAAGTAAATGAACCCACAGTAGGACATAGAAAGTCATTCAATACCTGGAACAGCAATCTATGCTGTAAATGGACACGAAGCAAGACATACAGTAGAACGTCAAACATTACATGAAACAACACTCTCAGCTCTAAATGGACCCACAGCAGGACACAGAACGTCATACGCTAGCTCAAACAACACTCTCTGCTCCAAATGTATCCGCAGCTGGACATAGAACGTCATACGTGACCTGGAACAACACTCTCAGCTCTAAATGGACCCACAGCTGGACATAGAACGTCATACAATACCTGGAACAACACTCTCTCCTGTAAATGGACCCACAGCTGGACATAGAACGTCATACGTTACCTGGAACTACACTCTCTCCTGTAAATAGACCCACAGCTGGACATAAAACGTCAAACGTTACCTGGAACAACACTCTCTGATGTAAATGGACCCATAGCTCGACATAGAACGTCATACGCTAGCTTAAACAACACGCTCTGCTGTAAATGTACCTGCAGCAGGACACAGAACGTCAAACGTTACCTGGAACAACACTCTCTCCTGTAAATGGACCCATAGCAGGACACAGAACGTCATACAATACCTGGAACAACACTCTCTCCTGTAAATGTACCTGCAGCAGGACACAGAACGTCATACAATACCTGGAACAACACTCTCTCCTGTAAATGGACCCATAGCAGGACACAGAACGTCATACAATACCTGGAACAACACTCTCTCCTGTAAATGGACCCATAGCAGGACACAGAACGTCATACAATACCTGGAACAACACTCTCTGCTGTAAATGGACCCATAGCTCGACATAGAACGTCATAAATACCTGGAACAACACTCTCTCCTGTAAATAGACCCACAGCTGGACATAAAACGTCATACGTTACCTGGAACAACACTCTCTGATGTAAATGGACCCATAGCTCGACATAGAACGTCATACGCTAGCTTAAACAACACGCTCTGCTGTAAATGTACCTGCAGCAGGACACAGAACGTCATACGCTACCTGGAACAACACTCTCTCCTGTAAATGGACCCACAGCTGGACATAAAACGTCATACAATACCTGGAACAACACTCTCTCCTGTAAATGTACCTGCAGCAGGACACAGAACGTCATACGCTACCTGGAACAACACTCTCTCCTGTAAATGGACCCATAGCAGGACACAGAACGTCATACAATACCTGGAACAACACTCTCTCCTGTAAATGGACCCACAGCTGGACATAAAACGTCATACAATACCTGGAACAACACTCTCTCCTGTAAATGGACCCACAGCTGGACATAAAACGTCATACAATACCTGGAACAACACTCTCTCCTGTAAATGGACCCACAGCTCGACATAAAACGTCATACAATACCTCAGCTCTAATTGGACCCACAGCTGGACACAGAACGCCATACAGTACCTTGATTAACACTCTCTCCTGTAAATGGACCCATAGCTCGACATAGAACGTCATACGCTAGCTTAAACAACACGCTCTGCTGTAAATGGACCCACAGCAGGACACAGAACGTCATACAATACCTGGAACAACACTCTCTCCTGTAAATGGACCCGCAGCATGATGTGGAGCAATAGTATGATATCCATCGACTTGTGATGAAGCTGATTTTGTATCTACAGTATGTTCCATGGGTCCCTGAAACAGCCAATACGCCTGGACAGATGAGTTCACCTCAGTAGCATCAACGGGTATGTTATTCTTATATCACTGCCAATTGGTTAACCTAAAATAATTTGACTCCTGATCAGTACAGTGGAATGGCTAAAATGAGAGAAAAACATTTGTTTCTCTTTCACCGTCAAGAGAAGAGGTAACTATGACATAGACCGTGGCACAAACTGTTTTAGTGTCTCAACTATCTTTTACCTACATGTATGCTCCCAGAAAACTCAACTTTAAACATTTTAAGTTCATTTTTTAGAAAATGTTCCTTGAAAACCTCAAAAGCATGCCTTTATGTATAAAACATTTTAGCTTACGTTCCATATCTTGTGTTGTCCAAAAGTATTGAAAAGAACATATTTTATGAACAACTTTGCTTATTATTATCAAAACAAAATCTAAAACATTTGCTCCTTTCTTGAATCATGCAGATTGGGTGGACAAAAAAGACCCGATCGTTATGCTTGACATGGTAAAGTGAATTAGGTTTCCACATTGAAATTGTTGCCTCACAAGTGGGATTTGGGTTTGTAAATAATGTTAAATTAATATTGTAGCCGGTATAGCTTAATTTGTCTCTCAGATCATTGCTAGAGCCTAATATATGTATCAACAGGATTAACATACATGACCAACAGGAAGTCGACGTTAGCCGAAAGCAGCTTTTGGTACCAGTTTCAAAGTTGCGACTTCCATTCCAGACTATGCTTTTTAAAGTATTTTGAATAAGTCATACAGTCCGTAACAGTTGTTTTGTGTTAAACTTTAGAGGTTGCATAACTAGAAAACATATTCCGCCAACAATGTAACATAACAATATGAATATTTATTTTTTATTTTTTATCTAGGGTTTGAATCCTTATCTATCGTGTTCATACTACTAAATTTCGTTAATCCGACATACTCGTTAATCCGACATAATCATATGCAACCATCGATGTCGGATTAACGGGAATTGACTCTACTTCTCAATCGTTAGTTTAAAAAATGTAACTTATTCACTGGTTGAAACTATTACTCTTACTCTTACTCTTGGAAGCCACACTCTGTGCTCGTGTTATTTTCTATGAATGACTATGTTATGCTCTCTGAAGTGTATTTAGCCATGGACCTATATGCTTGTGTGGCTGATCTTACATGGTTATGTTTCGGAAAATAATTAGTTTCATGAAAACATCTAGAACCATCAGAGCATTTGCCAGTGGTCTGCTTAGTATTTTGATATCGGACGTCTATTTTGATAGATGACCTGTGAAATATTACAAGATACAGTGACACATGATGGAGTTACCGGAGGAAGAGTTCTCTTCTTTGAGGTCACTATCTTGTCACCCCCTTTTTCATAGACTAGATAAGGTCCCATTTGTTATCTTCGGGACTTAATAAATATAATACTCAAGTGATATTGCTGGAATATTGTTTAAAGCGGCGTAAAACCGTACAGTATAGCAGTTTCTTTAGGGGAAATGCAGGATCACTATCATGGTATTGTTTGTTTGATTGTTTGTGAACAATTTACTTGCCTTTGCGTGTGTTTATGTCAGTATCGCCTTTTTACGAACACCCCGTATCATCACTAGTTGATAGTAATTAATAAACACATCCTTAATATAGTCGCATTCATACAATGATTAGAGAAAGTGTTTTGTCGGTTTTTTTCCACAGCTGTATATGGACGATGATCATAGTAGGTGAGGTGAAATGGGGATTAACGTCGCGTCCAAGATTATTGCACTTATCTAGCGATGTGCATGTACGTGTGTGTGTTTGTGTGGCTGCTTGTACTAGTTCGGACTGATACCGATTTATAGTGCTAGCTCACTGAGATACCATGCCGCAGTTTAACACGAATACCCCACTCAGATACAGTATATTGACTCCGAGCCGACCAGTCCTTGTTTTAGCCCCTTAATGCCGAGCGCCAGACAGGGTAACAACAAGTACCATCTTTTAACGTCTTTTGGTATGACGCGGTCGGGGATCGAACCACGGACCTTCCGCTCTCCGGGCGGACGCTCTACCACTTGACCACGGAGGCGGTCGATGGTCATAGTTAGAAATCCGAATAGGTCATTATATTCATTAAATCGTTCAGTGACATGTCCTATTTATTTTGGAACCGTCATACACAAATTGAAATAGATACCCTTTTCCTTGATATGTTAAATATACTGTTTGGCAAGCCAGTGGGAATAATCGAAAACTATATTTCAGTGATAGCCTATAGATCGGTTGATTTCAGAGAATCGTTTGTTGGTTTGTTGTTTAATGCCACACTCAGCAATATTCCAGCTATATGACGGCGGACTGTAAATAATCGAGTCCGGACCAGACAAAAGCATGTCTAAACCAAGTCAGCGAGCCTGACCACCCAATCCCATTAGTCGCCTTTTACGGAAGCATGAGTTGCTGAAGACCTATTCTACCCCGGATCTTCAAGGGTCTTATTATGATACACTGAACTGTCCGTCGTTATGCTTACAGTATTCTATTTTTCATACCGATCGTCATCAAAGAGAGTTATAAATGAAACAAGCATATCAAAAAACGTAATATGCGTTCTATATATGTATTATGAGTCTTTGTCACGTGTCTATAAGTATATTGCATGTAATATGTAACTGGAAATACTCAGACATATTGCCCTACTTTGGTCGTTCATTAAAAAAACTCCACACAAACCTACCTCCAAACAATGAAATGTCAGCTCCAAGTTAACTTGAAATTGAATGACCTGACCTGCACAATAGCCAGCCATGTGAACACCTATTGTTGTTCGCATATTTGTATGGCTGTATCCTATTTCATATTGTACTCTGTATTGTTAGTGTGTTATCATTACTGCCTTTAAACGAGGAACTGAAATGTAATATTCCTTATGTAATTCATGTATGCGTTATGCGCTGAAACAGGTTGCTGCTATGTGGTGAAACTGGATATTCAGGGATACTGTACTAAAGTCAGTTATAGCCATGACGTCTGTTTGCTGCCATACTATACCCTTTTTTAGGACGAATCATTTTTAGTCGCAATGTTAAAACTATTTGCGTTATTGTTAGAATTGCGTTATTATTTTCCCGAAGACTTGTTTATTTATAGATGCTTTAAACCCCGTCTCCATCTGTATCGACATGTACATGTATGAACGGCCACGCCACGCCACGCCACGCCACGCCACGCCACGCCCACAATCAGAACCACACGCTTTTCTCGTTACGTCAAGTTTCTTCTCGTCTCGTCTCGTCTCGCCGCACCGCACCGCACCGCACCGCACCGCACCGCACCGCACCGCACCGCACCGCACCGCACCGCACCGCATCGCATCGCACCGCACCGCACCGCATCGCACCGCACCGCACCGCACCGCACCGCACCGCACCGCACCGCACCGCACCGCCACGCCACGCCACGCCACGCCACGCCACGGGAAGCCGTGGTTGAACAAGGGACTGAGCGCGGCCATAGGATCAACGCTACTCTGGCTTCAATGTTGAATTGTGTGGGCGAAAGATCGAAGTGAAGGAGGATAATTAAAGGCGTCCAACACTTTGGTGAGACCAAAGGTACCCGGGTAGTGCACAATATGTGTGATGAGTGTGCCAAAGTAACGTACAAATATGTGTTGTGAATAGAAAACACAATTATATGTGGTGATATCATTCTATATAAGTCACCTGTGTACGTGTGCTTAGGACCCGTGATGATTCGGGGTAGAATAGGTGTTCAGCAACCCATGCTTGCCGCAAAAGGCGACTATACTTGTAGTAAGAGGCGACTAACGGGATCGGGTGATCAGGCTCACTGACTTGGTTGATGCATGTCATCGTATCCAGATTGCGTGGATCGATGCTCATGATGTCAATCAATGTCTTGTCTGGTTCGGACTCAATTATTCACATACCAATTGTAATATGTAAATTGTTATTCAATTTGAAAATTTTCAGCTGTAGAACATTAAAGAATCAAGGAATCTATACAATCGCCCAAGAACAATCGACCCTTGAATCATGTAAGAACTGAGAAACGTTGGACGTTCATGTCGAACCCATTAAAACAAAGTCCCAGCAAAGCGATTATTCATAACAACTTTATATCATACGAAGCATAACACAATGCTTCCCAACAAACGACAAAGCTATCCATACACACGGTATGCTATGTGAAGCATAAATGAAGCATGCCTGAGGTTGTCGTGCGAAAAGTGTTCCTCATCTTCACCAAACATAAACTGTCTGATGAAGCATGACATAAGCACAGATAACTACAACAGAAGCTTACCTTCAAAAAGGAAAAGTAGAAACGTAGGTACAACCACCCACATCTTAGTATGCCGCGCCATGTTTAATTCTATGCATTTTGATCCCATTGTGATGGCAACCATATTGATCGCTAGGCTCCCACAAGCTGTATAGTTACACTACCTGTAGTTAGCAGGTTATTTACAGGAGTCATGTTACGCTACCCGCATTCAGCAGTTTATTCATGTGCTTAACGATAACATCGTTTGTTCTTATATCAACTGCAATACATTACTATTTGTCAATATGCATGCCAAACGCTTGATAACCAAATGGGACCAATTACGTGTGTTTGCCTTTGGTGATTTCATTTAAATGAGTTTGTTGTTAACTACAATCGGTTGATTTTCATTCAAGCCATTAAATGCATGCTATGCAGAGTGAGTGAGTGAGTGAGTATGGTTTTACGGCGCAATATTCCAGCAATATCACGGCGGGGGACACAAGAAAAGGGCTTCACACATTGCAGCCATGTCGGGAATCGAACCCGGGTCTTCGGCGTGACGAGCGAACGCTTTAACCACTAGGCTTTGCAGAAGTGATCCTATTTTTTTCTGAAGGAATGTGACTTGGGTTTTTTAGGGACCGACCATTTGCTATTCTAGATGGGGCGGGAACGGGGGGGGGGGGCCTGGGATTTTTATGCTTCAGTTTGTTAAAAGAAACATAACTTGACAGCCACAAAAAAATTATCGTTACAAGATGGTTCTTTTTATTCTAAAAAAATATTGAGGCTCAAGGTTTTATTAAAAATATCTGTCTTTGCAGCTGTAGCTGAAGTAAATATCTAGTCTCCATATAAAATCCAGCCTCACACCCCGCTATTTTCAATATCCCCTAGTAGCCAGTGCTTTGGACAGGAATATATCACTACTGTGACTATCGTGTTTTCGTATGTATCGTTCTTGTATGTGTAGCTGTCGGCGCTGATACATGATAGTGCACAAATTGTTGCCTGTCTCCAGTTCACTGTTCACCATGACCAGAGCTGAATGAGTGAATGAATATCGTTTAACGCCGCTGCCAAAAATAGCTAAGCCCTATAACTGTGGTCTGAAAATAACCTAGTCAGAACAAGTCAAACCAGTATGAGTAGGAATCGCGCCTTCTCCGTTTCTTTGTTTGTTTGACGTGTACTCAGCGGTCTGTAAATAATCGATCTGCACCAGACAATCAAATGAGCATCGATCCACGCAATTGATATGTGAATACATGCAATAACTTAGTCACCGAGTCTGACCACCCGATCCATTACACGACAAGAATTGATTGATGGAAACCTATATGCTTTATCGTAGGGGGCACGGATGGCCCAGTCGTCTAAGGCGCCGCGATTCGCTGTCCCTTGGGCACGCCAGAAACCTATGATTGTGGGTTCGAATCCCGGTTCTCCCCAATTATGTTTCTAGATTTGTCAGCACCATACCCGTGCTCGTGGGTTTCATCGAAGTGGTAAACGTCTGAGACCTGCATCACTTCGGGCTTTCCTCCCACATTAAGCTGACACGCCGTGATATAACTGGAATACTGTTAAAAGCGGCGTTAAACCCAACTCACTCACTCACTCACTTTATCGTAATGCCCACTGGTCTCGAAGTATAATATCACGCAACCACACAGCTAGTCTGTCATACAGACCCTGAAACAAATATATTCAATACAGTCCAGGCAAGTCTATAACGTCTACACAGTCTAGATTACTGCAGTATCAGGGAGAGAGTCTCTAGGCTCCTTTTTATTATATTTTATAACAATAACTGAACACCCTTTTTTTCTGTAAAAAAATATTTTTATAGACTAGACAGCCTGACCACCCTCATTTTAGTCGACGGTTACGACAAGCCTTGGTACCCACCGTGAACTGGCACGACATGCTACAATCATATTCTGAACAGCCAGCGTTACTAAACATATTACATTAAATGTCGTAATAATCCAGGTTTTGTTCTGATTCTTCAGTTGCGCTTTTAGGCAGTGAAGTCTTCTCCTTGCTGCGTATAACTTCAATATCTTCATTGTAGTATGACTTTAAATTAAACAAGAATTAAAATGGTCAGTTTGTTTTTAATTGTATGGCTTATCTGATAATGCTGTCTTAAACAAAATGCGATTGATGTACTGATGTTGATTAAGGCGTCTCTAGATTGAGTTTCCAAAGATTTGGTCGAACAGGACGTCAGGTAGTGGTCGTGCCTGCGGGTGGAACACTTCCTGATGGAAAATTTTCCGTCGTGGAGAACGGGAGTGGATGTGATGTCGCGGTTGTTGATGCTGGAGGAACACCAGATGTTGGCCCAACAGCAGGAGACGTTTCAGTCGTGGAGAACGGGGGTGGATGTGATGTGGCGGTTGTTGATGTCGGAGGAACACTAGGTGTTGGACCAACAGCAGGAGACGTTTCAGTCGTGGATAACGGGGGTGGATGTGATGTGGCGGTTGTTGACGCCGGAGGAACACTAGGTGTTGGTCCCACAGGGGGAAACGCTACGGCTGGGGGTAACTGGGTTGTGTTAGAAGAACTATAGACTCCTTGAGTACTCGTCGTCCGATGTTCTGATGCTTGCATAGGCAACATGGTACCTGTAGTTTGTCCTGTGGCATTAGCTGAGACTGGAGAGGCGGTGTACGGTGGAGGTGTGGCATTGTAAGTGGAATATGCCGGCGGCGCGGGCACTGAAACATAGATGGGACAATAAGATCATACGTGGGTATATATGAAGCATGAGGAATAGTCGAGCCGTTAAGGGGCGGTCGGGTAGCCTAGTGGTTAAAGCGTTCGTCACGCCAAAGACCCGGGTTCGATTCCCGACATGGGTACAATGTGTGAAGCCCATTTCTGGTGTCCCCCGCCGTGATATTGCTGGAATATTGCTAAAAGCGGCGTAAAAACAAACTCACTCACTCACTCCAGCCGTTAAGTGGCGATAATTGGGTGGATTGTGCACTTTACGTTGAAAGCACGATTCCTTATGTACATGGACGTGGTGCCTATCCATTCTTTTCCAAGATGTCCACCAACAGAAGTTAAAACGAGCCTTATCAAATGCATAAACCAATAGACTCAGTCTGTTTTTGTGTTAAAATGAAACTTGGCATGGTAGTAGATATTGCTTCACCGACTGTCTGTAATATACCGAGTATATGGCGGTCAGTCATTTGGGGTTTTTTCAAGATGGCCAGTTGAAAAACAAGCCTTCTCAAATGAACATCACGAAAGTCGATTCTTCGGTTGACTAAACCTTGCATAATAAAAAAGATATTTACTCCAGAATCAGACCTACACAGACCCAGGGCTAAAATATATAGTTCTTTACGAAATGCTCTTGATTGACATGCTATTGTTGCATTTTGAAATATATGAGTATAACAACCAAAGATAGACATATTCGGACTTGTCTAATGCTAATGCATGTGACGGCAAATTGAAAAAAGAGCCATAAAAACTTATTTTCAACAAAATGTGTTACAGTGAAATTACTTTTGTCCCCATAAGAATGTATGGAGCAATGATCTCCAAACGTTTATTTATTATACGGTTCAATATTGTGGGCCATTACTAAAGTATTTCTGAATGTAAATTATTAAAAACGTGAAACGTAAAAATATTGATTACAAAATAGATGTTGATTATCGATCAGATCGTCTTGACTGGGCGCCGCCATTTTGTTTGAGGCAAATGCAAATGATATGAGAGGTGGAATCTGGGTGGTCAATTGGAAGGACATACAAGGGACACTGATGGCTCTACGATCGAGCCCAGAAGTCCCAGCCTAGTTCGGCATGGGTGAAAACTGGACTTTTACAGTTAGTAAACTCCCTTGCCTCGGGAAGATGGGTCGATAACTGATAATGTGTGGATGATGCAGGATAGATCATTCAGAGAAGCCTAGTCTAACCGTGTATGTACGATAATGTGTGGAACACGATGGAGAGATCCATCAGAGATTCCATGTAGGATAGATCCTTTGGAGATACTTACTGGTGTAAGGCGCCACAGGGGCGATAACTCTGCCTTTGTTTCCTGTCCTGGTACACGACTTGATGACGGCGATGATGATGCCACAGCAGCAGCAGAGGACGAGCAAGGGGATGATGATGGCCATGGCTATAAGCCAGCCATGTATGGGTTCTCTGCGGACAGAAGACGTGTTGGTAAGTTGGTTTCACATCAAGGTCTGTCAAGTCTTTGAATGACATTTAGACGTGGGGATGATGCAGTATCATCCATCAACAAGTACAACAAGACCATCAGCATTCTCTTCCTCAAGGTGGGGGCACGGGTGGCCCACTCGTCTAAGGCGCCGCGATTCGCTGTGCAGAGTTGCGTCCCTTGGGCACGCCAGAAACCTATGATTGTGGTTTCGAATCCCGGTTCGCCCCGATTATGTTTCTAGGTTTGTCAGCACCATACCCGTGCTCCTGGGTTTCACCGAAGTGGTAAACGTCCGGGACCTGCATCACTTCGGGCTTTCCTCACACATTTAAGCTGACACACCGTGATATAACTGGAATAATGTTAAAAAGCGGCGTTAAACACTCACTCACTCACTCACTCACTCACTCACTCATTCACTCTTCCTCAAGGTCTGTCAGCTTAATGTAGGAGAAGAGATCAAACCGAGAAGCTTTGATATGTTTTTAACAAGTTGTGTTATAGTCACCACTGAAGAGAATAAGGCAACCAAACCGACTTGAGTTGCCGTCGTCGATTTCAGTTTAGAAAACAAAAAAGTATTGGAATCCCGCTTGTGCTTTCAATAAAAAATACATCAAGAGTCTCTCAAGTATCATTTTTATCCTGAAGCCCTAAACATACCCTGTGTGTTGCATTGAAACGAGGAGCCAAAGCTAGATAGTACATACATGGAACAGCACTTCCGGCTGTAGGCGGAAGTACAGCATGTCTCGGGGCAGGTGAAGGTGACGGTGTTGCTGCTGAAGGTGCTCTCAAAAGCCGTGCACTGCACACCGAAAACACCTGCAATCAAACAGCAACTTAAGCAAAACATAAATTACAAAGGCATACGTGATACATAATTATATATGTATTTGAGTTGTAAGAAGGACCAACAAGAGATGTAAATATATGGGATATAATGCTGTGCACCATCCCTGTCGGATGTATCAATACGTGTTATGATTTTTCTGGTGGTATGACGTCTCTGCTGGTTGGTTGGTTGGCAGCACTCAGCAATATTCCAGCTATTTGACGGCGGTCTGTAAATAATCGAGTCTCGACCAGACAATCCAGTTATTGATATCATGAGCATCGATCCTCGCAATGTGGGATCGATGACATGCATCAACCAAGTCAGCGAGCCTGACCACCCGATCGCCTTTTACGCCAAGCATGGGTTGCTGAAGATCTATTCTACCCCGGATCTTCACGGGTCCGTCTCTGCTGATGGTAATCCCAATGTTGGTTGGTTGGTTGGTTTGTTGTTTAACGCCGCACTCAGCAATATTCCAGCTATATGACGGCGGTCTGTAAATAATCGAGTCTGAACCAGGCAATCCAGTGATTGATATCATGAGCATCGATCCACGCAATCTGGAAACGAAGACATGTTTCAACCAAGTCAGCGAGCCTGACAACCCGATCCCGTTAGTCGCCTCTTACGACAAGCATAGTCGCTTCTTACGGCAAGAATAGGTTGCTGGAGATTTATTCTGGACCCGGATTGTCACGGGTCGGGTGACAAATGAAAGATAACTCCAGAAATAGAATGCCAGGCAAATGAATGTTTTAACCCATGTTTGATGGTGGCTAGAAATAAAACAAACAAGAAATGTGTTTTCGATGTGATGTATTTGATACGGGTATCATAGTTATGTTTTGGATCTAAAGTCAGCATTCTTTCGGCGACTGTTTTCAGCCTAGTGACGTTTTCATAAAGTTTGTAATTTTTGGACCATATCCGATTTTCAAGTGTATACTTTCTTTTGCCACAGCCCCGCCGGTAACTCCAGAAATAAGTGACACCATCATCAGTAATGCACTATATCAGGGACACATCCACTGGTAATACCAGGGTAGCGTTGTACGAGTGATCTCAGCGATGAGGGGATCGTAACTCCCACGATGCATTACCACAGACTTACGACAGTCGTAGCGCTAAGGTTGTTTTGTACACCGGCAGACAGAACTATTTGGGACCACATCCAGGAACACCGGTGACGTGATGACAGAAGGAAAAAGGGTCTAAGTTAGGAGACAGTCATACGCTTTGATTAGTCATCTCCCGTATATAGGCTAACTAACCGTACAGTCTGCCTTTTTACTTCAGTGAACTCTTATTACACGGTAAGACCGCCTCCGTGGTCTAGTGGTAGAGCGTCCGCCCGGAGAGCGGAAGGTCTGGGGTTCGATCCCCGACCGCGTCATACCAAAAGACGTTAAAAGATGGTACTTGTTGTTACCCTGTCTGGCGCTCGGCATTAAGGGGCTAAAACAAGGACTGGTCGTCTCGGAGTCAGTATACTGTGTCTGAGTGGGGTATTCATGTTAAACTGCGGCATGGTATCTCAGTGGGCTAGCACTATAAATCGGCATCAGTCCGGACTAGTACAAGCAGCCACACAAACACACACACGTACATGCACATCGCTATATAAGTGCAATAATCTTGGACGCGACGTTAAACCCCATTTCACCTCACCACCTCACCTTATCACACGGTAACACGAGTAATGTAGAAACACATGAAGCGTAACATGGTATGGTAACACTACAGACAATTGTTTAGATACTATTAGTAGTGCTATATGAAGTAATTAATATTAAATAATAAATAATTTTGCAGTTGATTATGCTTTTCGTGTGGTAGTGGTCAGTATCACACACAGTATCGGGGCAAGGCAAGGACATGGTGATATCATTCTTAGTAATTGTTATTTATTATTTGTTGCTTCATGTTGATTGTCTGATACCCGCCCATTGTTACCCTCAGCTACGTGAAATCTTGTCCACGAACTGTCGCAAATAATTGAATATGACGTCATTTATTTTCGTGACGTCTCAGACGATTTCATGTCAATGAGTAATATACAGCACGGATATTCGGTTTGTGTGCCCCTGGTGAAATAATGGTACAGTATACGTAATCCCTCGTGGGTGTTCCTTATTTTGATAGTGATTCATAAATATGCTTATGTTTATTTGGAGTCGTAAAAGGGACGCTGCTTTTGATACAGATTTCTAATGATTGTGAAATTCGTTTTGCCCTTTTATTAAAATCAAAGAACACCTAAATGAATCATTCGCATATGCATTTCTTAAAACTGAAATTGTTTACTAGCAATCAGCAACTGTGACAGAAGTTATTTCCACAATTTCAAAACGGAAACTTTATTTTCGGAATTTTGGACCGGAAATGTAAATGAAAAACATTTACGCAAACAATAATAAAAAAAGTATAAAACCCTTTCCATATTCATACGAAATCTCTGCTAAAAGCAGAGTCGATTGAACGATTCCGACTACTGAATCATATTATTGAATCACTATCAAAATAGTGATGCTACCAGATGTTCACGAAAAATAAATATGATAAGACCCGTGAAGATCCGTGGAAGAAAAGGTCTTCAACAACCAATGCTTGCCGTAAAAGGCAAATATGATTTTATAACGGGATCGAGTGGTCGGGCTCTCTCACTTGGTTGATGCATGTCATCGTATCTTAATTGCGTGGATCGATCATCATGATGCCAGTCACTTGATTATCTGGTCCAGACACGATTATTTACAGACCCCAGCCATATGGCTTGGATATTGCGGAGTTAAACAACAAACAAACAACATAAAAAACAATTATGATAACGTAAGAAAAATGTGTGGGTATCCCTGTGAAAACTTATGGTAATATTAGAAAAGTGTTCCATTGTGAACCCCACATTATTAGTATAAAGCAGAGACCAATCGGTCAATACACAAACGGTGTACACAACACAACGAGATCAGAACCAGAATATAATTACCGTTAATACAGAAAACGCCCAACAAGAAACAGCACCGCAGTACACCCATGGCCATCTAATATCTCGCAGTCCTACAGACTAAACTGGACCTGACAACTTCCTTGTATTAACAGAGACCACACTCTGTAACGTATACCGTTATTATGTTTGAAAACATATGCACGTGCCATATCGAGGCACATGTTGAATATGTCTGTATGCATGTTTGATAGCTCACCAGCAATGGCGTACAGTACTCCATGAATTCTTAATGTTTACTGTGTAAAGACATTTTTGTATGGGCAAATGAGCATATATCTATGTGAAAGGTAGATTCAGTGCTGTATGTGATCTATGTACATGACGTCGCCATGAGTGCATTAATCTTCAACGCGACGCTAGACCCCATTTCACCTCACTACGTTAATTAGAAGCACCTTATTTTTTCATTGATTATTCTATGTGAGCAGAAACTAATAAAATGTGACACCGATCTTCTTTTTCACATACACTGGAAAGAATTCTGCTTCTGAATATTACTACATGTTTACCTGGTTCAATGGACTTTCCATATTCATAAGAAATATCTGCTCAGGGAGAGTTCATTTTACGATTCCGACTTTATCAAAGCATGTGTTCATGAATCCCTATCAAACAGTGATGATACCAGGTGTTCGCGGAAAAATTGAACTATCTAAACAATAACGACACTAAAAGCTAAACTGTTACATATTGTGAGATACAGTAACGTAAGAATGATTTTTTGATTTTTTCATTGCACTGAATAGCAACGACAAACATTGATATCTTTCATACTTTAATGGGACAGATTTGCTGATTTGTTTTATTGTTTGCTGCTTAACGTCACACAGTATCACAGCTGTATTACGGCGGTCTATTCATAATGAGTCTGGGCCAGAGAGTCCAGTGATAGATATTATGAGGGACAATTTACGGTGTTGAGGTACGATGTCACGCAAGTTACTGAACCCGAGTATGCACGTCGCTATATAAGTGCATTAATCTTGAACTCCATTTCCCCTCACCTCACCGCGTAATTTATTCAAATATGGCTCAAAATATGAAGAACATCTTGCTTCAGTTAGGATCACAATTTTAAAATCATTATGGATGCTGTTGAAGCGTACGCTAAAACATGGCCCCAGTGAAAAGATGAAATTGGGTTAGTGAGTGAGTGAGTTGGGTTTAACGCCGCTTTAAACAGTTTTACAGTTATATCACGGCGTGTCAACTTCATGTGGGAGGAAAGCCCGAAGTGATGCAGGTCTAAGACGTTTACCACTTCGGTGAAACCCACGAGCACGGGTATGGTGCTGACAAACCTAGAAACATAATCGGGGCGAACCGGGATTCGAACCCACAATCATTGGTTTCTGGCGTGCCCAAGGGACGCAACTCTGCACAGCGAATCGCGGCGCCTTAGATGACTGGGCCACCCGTGCCCCCGAAATTGGGTTAAGTAAATGCATGATGTCATTGGTAGAATGCACAAACTGAAAAAGAGGGAACAGGAATGGAATAAACCAAATATACCACCATCATCCTATTCCAAACATTAACCATAAACCTCAATAGAATGTATCTTCCTATTCGCAGAAAGTACTTGAGATAAGTGACACTGATGTGGATTTTCAAAAACTCAAAGTATTTGCTTGAAATGTGGAATCCAAGGAAACAACCAAGTCAATTGTGTACTCCACTTTTCCACTCGACAAACTTACGAAACAACTTCATTCTTTGATGCATGGGGATCATTATAAACCATAAATATAGTTACATCTCTATCTTCGGAGGTTTAGGACTATTTGATAAATGAAAGCACATGCCATCGGAAGTTTACTGAGAAAGCAGTTTGTGAAATGCTGGACATCCTCATAGATAACATATACAGTGAAGGCTCGTTAATTCGACATCGTTAATCCGACAATTGGCTTTATCCGATACTAATGATGGGAACCGATTAAATCGGTGTTATTTAGACCCGTTAATCTGACAGTCTCGCACACTGACTCCGATTTAAAATGTGTGTATAAAATGTGGTGATAGGACATTTAGGCAAGGAGGCTACCCCTTGGACACCAATTGTGCTGATCCACTGCTTGCTGATCAGTCTCGAATTTGCAACATCAAACCAAGGAACTGATGCCATGGAGTTTGATAAAGCTTCAGGTATATCTATGATGTGACATGGTTCAATTGTGGTCATGTAGCCAATTCCTTTCCAATGATTTATTCACCTGACCTGGAAATAAAAGCGACGAGTGAAACCGCCTCATCAATTTCATATTTAGATCATATTTTGAGTAAAAAAAGAATATTCCCTTTATGTGGAGCAATGTTCCAGCAGCTGTGTCACTCTACATTTTAAAACGTTTGAGATACAATCAAGCGTGCTCTGTCTAAGGAGATTTCAAAGAGTCATACAACTCTTGCTCAAAGGTGTTTGATAAGGATTACGACATTCAAGGCCTAAGTAACGTTTTATGGTAGCCATGTGGAGATCATTATAGGAATTGACGTATCAGTGACCAAAATGATTCCCTATTTTGACTTGTACCATAGATTCCCGTGTTGCTTTTGTTAGGCGAACACTTGACTTGCCTTTGCATGTGTTTGTGACGGAAGCCACCTATGCGCAGAAAACGTTCAACGTTTCGTGAACATCTTGCATCGTCACGTTTTCATAATATATTCCTATTGCATCGAACAAAGGACGTTTATTTTATTTGAGATCTATTATGATTTTGGAAAGGTTTTTGTCGCTTTTTTACAGCCACAATATAAAGTACTATTGTTAAGAATGTTGCTTCTGTTTCTTCTAGTTCATTTATGGTTATATATTGGCCATTATTGACCAGGTAGTAATCAGCACGTTATCATGACAGAATCCCATATAAACAGGGGCGTGCCTTGATGTGTATCGACTGATGTATAATGAAGTGAACTGTAACATTGAACACATGCCCTTAGTCAATAACTAGATGAGAAGGTTGCATAGTACTCTGTAATTACATCCTGCCATTTACCTTATGATAATGATGAACTCAATTTCTATAAACATACACTAGATAGTCATGAAGGATATGAAATACTTGGAGTAGTTGCAAACGCTAGTTTCTTTCAAAGATGTTTTGGACATCCGAGTGTATTAAAGTTGGATTTGGAACCATGTTTCATTCAAGGTATTTAAATACTAGTAGCTCTGTGTTTGTCTTCAAACTCAAACTATATTATCTATCATTCGGAAATGTCAATTCAACAGAAACGTGTCATAGATGGCACAGATTAGAATATCCAGATTTAGACTGGAATTAGAAACCAGATCAATCAGACCATAGAGCATAGTTCCATAGATCCCGTTAGTCGCCTCTTACGATGGAATTAGAAACCAGATCAATCAGACCATAGAGCATAGTTCCATAGATCCCGCTAGTCGCCTCTTACGATGGAATTAGAAACCAGATCAATCAGATCATAGAGCATAGTTCCATAGATCCCGCTAGTCGCCTCTTACGATGGAATTAGAAACCAGATCAATCAGATCATAGAGCATAGTTCCATAGATCCCGCTAGTCGCCTCTTACGATGGAATTAGAAACCAGATCAATCAGACCATAGAGCATAGTTCCATAGATCCCGTTAGTCGCCTCATACGATGGAATTAGAAACCAGATCAATCAGATCATAGAGCATAGTTCCATAGATCCCGTTAGTCGCCTCTTACGATGAAATTAGAAACCAGATCATAGAGCATAGTTCCTCTTCAGGGTAGGTTTTCCTTGAAGAGATTGCTATCACAAGTGACCGACTATTAAGATTAAGGAGTGTTCATAGTGATGGTTTAAACCATTAACGATTACAATAAAGTAAGTAAAGTGTCTGTGTTCTACATGATTGACCTTTTCCCTTACCATCAGAAACAAAGATGTTCGGGACTTTGGTGTTTGGGGTGTTGTTGGTGACCTGGTGTGTCAGCGCTGTGTCCAGTTTTGTGCAATACATAAACATATCATTTTACATTCAAGATATAGGTTGTTTTCGTGATTTGGCGAATTCGAAGAGAAAAGACGTTTAATAACTGCATTAGAAGTACAGCGGGTTAATTAATTGTAAGCGTTTAACGCTGCAGTTAAAGCTACTTCACCACGATGGAAACCAAGCATGCTTTTGCATCATAACCTGCTCACAGGACGAACACTATGACTATTAACAAAGCCATCACTCTTCACTGCCGCGGAATATATCAACTAAATGACGACGGTAAAAGATTCGGAACATTCAAATTAGAAATGCTTCTTTTCTGTTGGCTTGTATCAGCTTTAAGCTTATAACAAACAACGAGTATTTAGGAGAATATCCAAACAGCGCTTCTCAAGAAAACGGAAGATATTAGAATGAATGCTTCCCCTGGACTCACTGGACCTGGTGTCAGGTGTCTTGGTACTGGTCAATATATGGCAATATTGAGGAGTCATGTGTTTCATCAGAGTAAATCAGCTTCTTTCAACATGATCAAGATGAGCGTGACTATGCTGCACTACAGCCGGAGCTTCGGCTTCCGGTTAGCCTCGTTTCAGTTGTAGAGGACTACATGGAGGAAACTACTTGATGAATTGTTATACGACCGTCTATACGTTATTCTTATGCCTCAAAGTGAGCTTGACCAATGATATGCGTGATGTTGATACACGATAGTGTAAACCTTTTGGCATAATAAATTCGTTAATATGGCGTCTTTAGTTGCCGTAAACGGTGTCATATTATGTTAGCAGAAAAATAGGTTTCTGCTACCCGGAAATGACGGTATACGGCAACAAAAGACACCATAACCAATAATATACATCTTTCAGATAATGTGCAGGGTGGATAACTACGTTTATGTGTATATCGTGTTGTATAAGGGAAGGCGTTACAGTCGGTTGCCAGGCGTTTCCCAATCACCTTCATTGTTTGTGATTTTTTTATTGAATTTATTGAATGTTTTGAATGGAAACAGAAAATCAGTGATGACGCCAGGTGTTCGTGAAAAGGGCAAGCACCCGTCACCCACACAATGAGTCCCGAGGGAGGGGCAGTTCGGAAACAAATGAAACATCGACCAAGTTCAAGTAAATACAAAAGGTCAAAGCTAGAGAACAATCGGCCTCGAAACAGAAACAGACTGTGAATTCAAGAAGGAAAGAGATCGGAAAAAGTTACAAACAAAAGGTAGAATAGGTGTTCAGCAACCCACACTTGCCGTAAAAGGCGACTATGTTCGTCGTAAGAGGCGACTAACGGGATCGAGTGATCAGGCTCGCCGACTCTATTGATGCACGTCATCGTATCCCATTCGCGTGAATCGATGCTAATGATATCAATCACTGTATTGTCTGGTCCAGACTCGATTATTTACAGACCGTCGTCATATAGCTGAAATATTGCTGAGTGCGGTGTTAAACAACAAACAAACAAACAAACAAACACATATCTGATATCAAACGATCCCTAAATAATGACTGCAATATAGTTTCGAATATTCCCACTGGCTTGCCAAACATTATATTAGCATGTCAAGGAAAAGGGTCTATAATTCAATCTGTATATTCAGTATGGCATGCCACTGAATGAGATAATGAATATAAGAGAGTATATCACCCCAGTGTCTTTTGATATCAAATATATCAACACAAGTTCATAAAAAATGGAAAAACTCCCATACATGCCGAGGAGTTTTTCCGCTTTTATCATCAATTGTATATTTGATATCAAACGACACGAGGTTGAGATTTTATGTATCATCCAAAATCATTCTTTCAACTTTTTCAGTTTGTAGACAGTAATAAGCAGTGTTATAAGTGTATAAAGTACTGCTAACAGCTTCAGTCGCAGAGCCATTGGTGATGTCATTTGATAGTGACGTCATGTAACAATGACGTCATAATGGTCTGCAAAGCATTTTGATGCAATTTCATTGCAGCGATATCTACAATGTAAAAAAAAAAATTGGGGGTTTAACGTCGCGTCCAAGATTATTGCACTTATATAGCGATGTGCATGTACGTGTGTGTTTGTGTGGCTGCTTGTACTAGTCCGGACTGATGCCGATTTATAGTGCTAGCGCACTGAGATACAATGCCGCAGTTTAAAATGAATACCCCACTCAGACACAGTATACTGACTCCGAGCCGACCCGTCCTTGTTTTAGCCCCTTAATGCCGAGCGCCAGACAGGGTAACAACAAGTACCATCTTTTAACGTCTTTTGGTATGACGAGGCCGGGGATCGAACCCCGGACCTACCCCCGAAGAGCGGACGCTCTACCACTAGACCACGGAGGCGGTCTCTAAATAGGAAACAGATGACACACAATCGTCTCTTTGACTTGTTTATCAGGTGGATAAATCAGTTGAAGGAAGTTGGTTATTTGACCATTATTGAAAAAACATCAGATCACAGGTATATCTGAAGCTAATATACCCTTCAACATAACTATTTCTTTAGAAAACTTCGGATGGCATTTGCTTTCATTCTGGACAAGTTGTCCTGAACCTTGGAAGATAGAGATGTATGTTTTATCTATGGACATCACGTTTTGTGTCAAATGGCCATGGAGTGAACGGAAGTATATGTACACAGCATAATTCCTCGAAGAATGTTCGCCATTAATAAGAAGAAAATAGTTGCATCAGAAAATATTTTAATGCATTTGTAAACTTTAAACTAGAAAGTTCATTGCATACTCATTTAAATAGGTGCAAAGTAAGTGTTTTAACGTACTGTAACATTCTTTCAGTTATCTCAACCTCAGGTTGAAACATGACACGCTGATGCCAACAAGACACACACATTAAAACCGTGTAATAGCGTATGTTTCACACAGCTAGTTAGCAATATTCTAGCAAGACCAAGTTTATCTGTAAATAAGCTGGTCAGGCAAATCAGTGGTTGACAGCATGAGCAACTATCTACACGTTAAGGCACGAACCTACAAACCTAGAAACATCAGGGCAAATCTTGAGTTTGAACAAGGACCATAGGTCTCAAAGACGTCTAAGGGATGCAGAGTAAATTGCGGTGCCTGATCATGACTACTTAATTTCCTCGTTACGTTAAACCAGCCATACGCATATGCAATAACCAGTAATTTATATTTCATAAAGCAATACACATATCAGACTGAAATTACATCTCCTCTTAAAACGAGGGCTATTTACGGAAAGCAGTTGCACTTGGCGCGACAGGAGGAGGAGCAGAATCAGGGAGAGGTGATTGAAAAGCACCAAACGGATCCGAATCCGAAGTTTCTTCTTTGGGTGGATCCGGAGGCGTCTCAGATGAAGTTTGATCCGGCGTTGGATCACCATCAGCATTTTCTGGAGGAGACTTCGTAGGGTCCTGTTCTTCTGATGTATTGCCTATTTCTTGTCCTTCGGGCAGATCTTGTCCTGGAAGTGTGGCTGGGTCTTGACCGTCAGGCGTTTCTTTGCCAGGAGGCGTAGCTTGTCCTGAAGCAGGGACTGGAGCAGGAGGCGGTGCTTGGCCAGGAGGCGGTGCTTGACCAGGAGGCGTAGCTTGTCCTGAAGAAGGGACTGGAGCAGGAGGCGGTGCTTGGCCAGGAGGCGGAGCTTGTCCTGAAGAAGGGACTGGAGCAGGAGTCGGTACTTGACCAAGAGGCGGAACTTGACCAGGAGGCGGGGCTTGGCTGCCATATGGAGTCTGATATGCAGGGCTCTGTGATGGAAACTGACTTGTCATCGCAGTGTTTGGGTATGGTGAGGGCCCCATGCTGTGATGAGGGGCTCCGTAATATTGAGACGTATTTGGGTATGGTGTAGGGCCGAGGTTGTACATGGGGAACCCGGGAGTGGGACCAGGAGGAGCAGCTTGACCATATGCTGAATAAGGCGCCATCCCAGGATAAGGAGCAGTGTTTGGGTACGTTGAGTAAGGCGGGGGTATCTCCCCCTTGTATGGAGGTGGTCCGCTCATCCCACCAGACCTGAAAGCAATCATACACGATAATTAGTTGAACTGTATTAAAAAACGAAATACTCTAGTATAGACGGAATATTTAGTGATTATTGTGTCTGTATGTGGGTAACAAATGTTATATTTTGGATAACACTTTCTTAGTAAAGTACAGATTCTTATCCTTTTTGGGGTTGAGTCCCATCCGAGAACCCACACTGCCAGTGTGCGGCACCTAATCGCCAGCACACAAAGTTAGCTCTCTAACCCACTCAGGAACCGGCAGTGAGGGTGCGAATCCCAGATGGGACTCAACCCCTCAAAAGGACGAGAATCTGTACTTTACTAAGCAGGTGTTATCCCAAATATAACTTTTGTTACATTTGACCACTTTCTAAATTGCTGTGTGTGTTCACAGGGTATGCCTGCATCAACAGCATTTATCATTCGCAATTTTGTGTCCTGACTGATAGCTTTTCCTCTTACTACTGCCCGCCCCGAAGCATGTGGTATTGAACTGACACTTTGACACAATCTTGTGAAATTTATATGTTTAATGTTTGTTTTACAGACACGATAAGTCCAATTACAAATAAGATTAACATAATGCAAGTTGAACAAGGTTGAATCGATCGTCACCGCTGATTGTGTTGATTCGCCGCTGATTGCGTATAGCCAATTGTCAGTGACACTTGACACACAGAAACAAGACACATCTGGATGGCCAGCCTGGATGTTACGAGCGCTTCACCGTATATTTGTTGTGACTTTGCCGACAATGGAAGTCTGACCCTGACCTGTCTGTCTGTACGGGCAATGATTGTACCTGTTGGGATGTCTGAGACCTCACAGAGCAGGTTTTCATTTTTTTCCACGTGATTTCATAATGCGTGTTACCCGTGAAGATCCGGGGTAGAATAGGTCTTCAGCAACCCATGCCCTAAGAGGCGACTATGCTCGTCGTAAGAGGCGACTAACGGGATCGGGTGATCAGGCTCGCTGACTTGGTTGATGCATGCCATCGATCCCAATTTCGTGGTCGATGCTCATGATATTAATCACTGGATTGTCTGGTCCAGGGTCGATTATTTACAGACCGCCGTCATATAGCTCTAATAGTGTTGTGTGCAGCGTTAAACAACAAACCAACCAACCAACTATCATAATGAGTGTAGGATGTACACCTTACAAGTATAACACATGGGGTTGATATTGCATACTAAAAAAAACAGCTGCTTCAGCTGAATGTAACCAATGTTATATTTGGGATAACACTTGCTTAGTAAAGTACAAACTCTAGTACTGAAATTCAAAACACTAGAATCTGTACTTTACTAAGTAAGTGTTATCCCCAATATAACATTTGTTACATTTGACCCCTTTCTAAATGGCATTGTGTATTCATAGCTTTCGGTCATGGGACCCGTGCCAATTTACAGTTGTCAGAGGGGTACTCAAAGTACGTGATCTAGACTACCAGTTGTCATTTCTGTATGGAAGCCTCGGTGGCTGAGTGGGTTAGATCGCTGACTTTGTGTGCTGGCGATAAGGTGCCTCACTCTTGGAGTGTGTGTTCAAATCCCGGGTGGGACTTACCGTAGTAGAATCTGTACTTTACAAAGAATGTGTTATCCCAAATATAACATTTGTTACATGAGACCAATTTGTGTATTCAACGCATTAATAGGAAGACTCCTAAGTCAGAGGTCAACTTTCAATGTCTTGTGTGACAATAGAACATTGGCTCTTTATTTTTAGTCATGACTCTTGAGGTAGATCATATTTCCCTAGACTAATCTACATTATACAACTTACGGACGTGTTAAATATTGTTTGAATCATGTAAATACAGCGCTCAAATGTATATCTGATAAAATATACGGATGCATGATCATGCATGATCATGCATGCGTGTATCTTTTGGGAACTGAATAAAACTATCTGTCTGTCTGCCTGAACTGCCAATTAGCACAAGCTCAGTTTCTTATAAAGGATTCACGGCATCTGCTTCAGGGCAAGACGTTTGTCTTCTTTGTCCTTCAGTGTTTGGTCCCCTTAATGGTTTGTTATTTCTCACAAGCAACACATTGCCTATGGGGTCTACACCACATAGCATACATACACGTACACTTTCAGCCTATACAGCTTAGCTACACATGACCCATGCCATTGTCACTCCAGTTTGCTCAATCGGTACAACCCCTGTGGTGGACCCCGAATGCTACCCTCCCTTGGAGCAAGAGGTGACCCAGAGGTTTAAGACGCCGCCTTTCGTTGGTTCGAATCCCAAATTCGCTACAATCATGGCCTTGGTTTTGTGAGCTATATACTTGATGGTTTAACTAAGGATGTCAACGCCTGTGATCTGGGTCCTCGTGTGCCTCGAACACATTAGGTATGTGAGTGAGTATGGTTTTACGCCGCTTTTAGCGCTATTCCAGCAATGTCACGGCGGGGGACACCAGAAATGGGCTTCGCACATTGTACCCATGTGGAATCGAACCTGGGTCTTCGGCGTGACGAGCAAACGCTTTAACCACTAGGTTACCCCACCGCCCCCACACATTAAGCTGCCATGTCGCGATAAACCGATCTCACTCATGAAATAATACATAGTATGCCACATAGATCTACCTGCGTGAACAGCTTTACATTTTCATGTAACCCTGTAGGAAGGAGCCAGGAACATTGGCTTCATGTTAATGTTAAAGATTAGTTTACAACAGATGTAGAAAGGTATGCAATTAAGACAATGAAAGAAGATGCGTACCTTGTTTTAGCACAGGAAAATAGCCAACACGACTCTGTAAGTAGTCCAGGGATGTCCAAGACAGCACTAGACAAGCAATGCTTCGTTATATGTGCTGTTGTTGATGCAGGCTTTTTAGTCGGTCGACAAAGTCATAATAACGCTTGTCACTGCGTAGTGTGAAGCGACTGTTTCGCCTTTGTCAATAATAGTCAAAGGAGTTGTATGAATTCCTATAGGTCTGTAATGCGCTTTGGCCACCGAGCCCTTCTTTCATTTGTCACTCAACTCTCGCGTTGCACAATACCATTCATTCTAATACACACATTTATAAATAGGTCTACCAATATCGTTGTCATGTTACTTCCAAAGACGACCGACAATGTCCCTTTCTAAGGTGTAATAATAATGGTAAAGCCTTTTGCTTTCATGCATTTAGGCCAACGTCAGCTGACAGACTGATCACTGACAGTTTGTAGTCATTAAACAGGAAGCTGCTTTAAAGACGTATGTATCATAAAGCGTGGGCATGACGCGGACATACATACACCAAATGGGCATGGAGGCTTACATACATCAAATGGGCATGAAGGTTCACATATATACATCAAATGGGCATGGAGGCTTACATACATCAAATGGGCATGTAGGCTCACATACATACACCAAATGGGCATGGAGGCTTACATACATCAAATGGGAATGTAGGCTCACATACATCAAATGGGAATGTAGGCTCACATACATACATCAAATGGACATGTAGGCTCACATACATACATCAAATGGGAATGTAGGCTCACATACATGCATCAATGGGCATGAAGGCTCACATACATACACCAAACGGGCATGAAGGCTCACATACATACATCAAACGGGCATGAAGGCTCACATACATACATCAAACGGGCATGAAGGCTCACATACATACATCAAACGGGCATGTAGGTTCACATACATACATCAAATGGGAATGTATGCTCACATACATACATCAATGGGCACGAAGGCTCACATAAAGGACAAGACAGACATGGCACTGACGTCATATTGATGCTGTCATCTTACAGATACGGTTTTAATTATTCACTTTTCACTACAAGTTGTATAAATAGGTTTTCGAGCACAGAACTACAACCCAATAAATGCACTAATCGTTGCTTCAAAGTAGATGATTTATCGATATAACAAAAATAACTGCCTATAATTGACTGCCTACATTTAGCTACATGAAGAGCTCACACAACATTACAACACGAACGACCTTGAGTGTTTTGTGTAACACAGTGCTCTATACAATATCTACTCAATGGATTGTTTGTTTTGCGAGATACTTTCTATCAAGATGCTGCGTTGCTGACGTGTGCAGAAACAGAATTCCATTATGACGTATTTAGGCCACGTGATACTTAAGGTCTTCCATTCATATAGCAAGGCTGGATGACTATTAGGCCACGTGACACTTAAGGTCATCCATTCTAAAAGTAAGGCTGGATGACTATTAGGCCACGTGACACTTAAGGTCATCCATTCTTATAGTAAGGCTGGATGACTATTAGGCCACGTGACACTTAAGGTCATCCATTCTTATAGTAAGGCTGGAGGACTATTACGCCACGTGACACTTAAGGTCATCCATTCTTATAGTAAGGCTGGGGGACTATTAGGCCACGTGACACTTAAGGTCATCCATTCTTATAGTAAGGCTGGACGAATATTAGGCTACGTGACACTTAAGGTCATCCATTCTAATAGTAAGGCTGGACGACTATTAGGCCACGTGACACTTAAGGTCATCCATTCTTAAAGTAAGGCTGGATGACTATTAGGCCACGTGACACTTAAAGTCTTACATTCTTATAGTAAGGCCGGGGGACTATTAGGCCACGTGACACTTAAGGTCATCCATTCTTATAGTAAGGCTGGGGGACTATTAGGCCACGTGACACTTAAGGTCATCCATTCTTATAGTACGGCTGGATGACTTTTAGGCCACGTGACACTTAAGGTCATCCATTCTTATAGTACGGCTGGATGACTTTTAGGCCACGTGACACTTAAGGTCATCCATTCTTAGAGTACGGCTGGATGACTTTTAGGCCACGTGACACTTAAGGTCATCTATTCTTATAGTAAGGCTGGATGACTATTTGGCCACGTGATACTTAAGGTCATCCATTCTTATAGTAAGGCTGGATGACTATTTTTATTAAGATTGGAATCATCAGTTTGATTGAAAGAAATCAGTCAGACAACATGTGACAAACATTTCATGTATGCTCATGACTTGTGTTAACAATTGTATACATATCACACAAATGATGCATTATTAATACCAAAAGCAGATTTATTGATAGACACAGCAGATACATAATAGCAACAGGTCTCAATGTCTGATATTAAACAAGTAAAAAGCCAAGTTATAATTACGCCCCCCCTCGCCGTGATATTGCTCGAATATTGTTATAAGCGACGTAAAGCAACATTCACCCATGCATTCTGATGTAGCAAAATTACTCCGATTAATTAACCCATCACCAGAGTTACCACGCCCAAACAAAAATGGCAGAAATCAAACTGCCGGTCAAAATAATGTGTGCACTTAACCAGGAAACCGGTATCAAATGCATCGTCATAGAATAAGGTAAGGTGAGGTGAGGTGAAATGGGGTTCAACGTCGCGTCCAAGATTATTGCACTTATATAGCGACGTGCATGTACGTGTGTGTGTGTGTGTGGCTGCTTGTACTAGTCCGGACTGATGCCGATTTATAGTGCTAGCCCACTGAGATACCATGCCGCAGTTTAACATGAATACCCCACCCAGACAAAGTATACTGACTCCGAGCCGAACAGTCCTTGCTTTAGCCCCTAAATGCCGAGCGCCAGACAGGGTAACAACAAGTACCATCTTTTAACGTCATTTGGTATGACGCGGCCGGGGATCGAACCGCGGACCTTCCGCCCGGAGAGCGGATGCTCTGCCACTAGACCACGGAGGCGGTCAACACAACACAGAATTTCCCGATGAATAAAATGTACAACGTGTGTATGGACATGTAATTTGAAAGTCATGGGTTTAGGTTTTCGTGTATTGATAACATGTGTACTAACTAAACCTATATCTCGATTTCCTAACTACAATGTTGATATCGATGGTATCCTATTGAAGACAACATCTCTCATGGAGAAGCATCAACGATGATATCGTCAGGAGGATGCCACGTTTGTCAAGCGTTCCCAGCAGGTGCTGCATGTGGATTAGCAGGACCTCCCGCAGAGGGAGGGGCAGTTGCAGGGAGAGGATCTTGACCAGGAGGCGGAGCTTGACCTGGAGGCGGAGCTTGACCAGGAGGTGGAGCTGCACCAGGGCCTTGATACGGATAAGAAGACACCGCAGCAGGTGGGGCTTGTCCGCCTGGTGGAGGATAATACGGTGGAGGTTGGGGTGGGGGGTAGGCTGGATTGCCCCCCGAGGGTGGATGTGCCATATTTGGCATTGGTGCGGGCCTTGGATATTGGGCATAGCCGCTCTGACCTGTAATACATCATAAAATGTTATTTACAAAACGTGTAGCGTTTCTGACAGAACTGGAACATCTGCTAGTGACACGTACAACGGTACTTCCTAGTTCCAAAGCATCTAATCTGGTAAATACAAAGTCACAACCGGACACATTTCTACGAGAATGATGGCGTCCAACATTAGTAGTGAGTGAGTGAGTGAGTGAGTGAGTGAGTTTGGTTTTACGCCGCTTTTAGCAATATTCCATCAATATCACGGCGGGGGACACCAGAAATGGGCTTCATTTTACCCATGTCGGGAATCGAACCCGGGTCCTCGGCGTGACGAGCTAACGCTTTAACCACTAGGCTACCCGACCGCCCCCCAACATGAGTAAAGACTTCAAACAACGTCTACATCCTTGAAAAATAATCATATTACAAACAATGCAGTATGATATATCATTATGACATTTTTCCGCAAACTCAATTTTATCATTTTCAAACTATTATTATGACTTAACTTTTATGGAACGTTTAATCTAAAGTATGACAATTCTCACACACCCACGAATACACCGGTCTGAGGCTGTGGGTAGATCACTCGTCCTGTCTCATTCTTGCAGCATGTCTTGACGATGGCTAGGATAGTAACAACCAAGACGACGAGGCCAAAGATCACTCCTATTATAATTGCAATGATGATGCCCGTGCTGGAACAGTATGAGCGTCAGCTTGTTTATCAAATATTACCCATTAGGGAAGAAAGTGTTTGTATGGCAGCCTATTAGTGCCACAGTTCCGTATGTGATATTATGATCGTAAGTATCGTTTCTCAGAGAGCTATATTGTCTTTTTGCAGTTGCGACCCTAGTTGGATACAAACATTAACATGTTTTAATAAAGGTGATTACTTATTATATAATATAATTACTGATTTAATTAAATGTTTGGGAGCATGTTGGGGTTTTTTCAACGTGTCAAACCATTAGCGCTAAAATAAAAACGCAAACTGCAGAATTGTACCTTCATATGATGATATGATGATGACGAGTATTGGTTGATATAGGTTTATAGTTTGAATGATTCTCACCCCTTCATATTCACGTTTTACCTCTTAAACCTAAGTTAAGGTGATTACTTAATTACTGATTTAATTAAATGTTTGGGAGCATGTTGGGTTTTTTTCAACGTGTCAAACCATTAGCGCTAAAATAAAAACGCAAACTGCAGAATTGTACCTTCAAATGATGATATGATGATGACGAGTATTGGTTTGATATAGGTTTATAGTTTGAATGATTCTCACCCCTTCATATTCACGTTTTACCTCTTAAACCTAATTTCCGTAGTGGAGAAATCATGAGGATCAACATATTCCTCCGGCTTGAACCATGTTATGGTTGATATATAATTTCGCTAAAATTTTGAATAATGACCTTCAAGCGTTTATTTCATTCTAGTTTGGAGGGCATTTTGTGCTCTACTCTCTTTCTTACGGTTGTGAGAGAGTATGGCGTGTGTCATTCTCAAGTAACTTTGACGTATAGAAATGAAGATTCACTTTATGCAATGTTTAGATAATACCTCAGAAAAGACATCTTAAGGTGGAGGTTCAAACAAATCGGTCATTATTAATTAAGCCAATGGTTATATATAACTGACCCTGAACTAGTGCCGATTACTCGAGAAAATATTGATACCTAGATGAAAGCATCTTCTACGTAGATGAGAGCAGTATCAACTAGGGATATCAAAGTATCAACAAGGTAGATGAAAGTATCAACTAGGGAGATGCAAGTATCAACTAGGGAGATGAAAGTATCAACTAGGGAGATGAAAGTATCAACTAGGGAGATGAACATATCAACTAGGGAGATGAAAGTATCAACTAGGGGGATGAAAGTATCAACAAATGAGATGAAAGTATCAACAAGGGCGATGAAAGTATCAACTAGGGAGATGAAAGTATCAACTAGGTAGATGAAAGTATCAACTAGGGAGATGAAAGTATCAACTAGGGAGATGAACATATCAACTAGGGAGATGAAAGTATCAACTAGGGAGATGAAAGTATCAATTAGGTAGATGAGAGTATCAACTAGGGGGATGAAAGTATCAACTAGACGATGAAAGTATCAACTAGGGAGATGAAAGTATCAACTAGGGAGATGAAAGTATCAACAAGGGCGATGAAAGTATCAACTAGTGAGATGAAAATATCAACTAGGTAGATGGAAGTATCAACTAGGGAGATGAAAGTATCAACTAGGTGGATGAAAGTATCAACTGGGGAGATGAAAGTATCAACTGGGGAGATGAAAGTATCAACTAGGGAGATGACAGTATCAACTAGGGAGATGAAAGTATCAACTAGGGGGATGAAAGTATCAACTAGGGAGATGAAAGTATCAACTGGGGAGATGAAAGTATCAACTAGGGAGATGACAGTATCAACTGGGGAGATGAAAGTATCAACTAGGGAGATTAAAGTATCAACTAGGGAGACGAAAGTATCAACTAGGGAGATGAAAGTATCAACTAGGGAGATGAAAGTATCAACTGGGGAGATGAAAGTATCAACTAGGGAGATGAAAGTATCAACTAGGTAGATAAAAGTATCAACTAGGGAGATGACAGTTTCAACTAGGGAGATGAAAGTATCAACTAGGGAGATGAAAGTATCAACTAGGGAGATGAAAGTATCAACTAGGGAGATGAAAGTATCAACTGGGGAGATGAAAGTATCAACTAGGTAGATAAAAGTATCAACTAGGGAGATGACAGTTTCAACTAGGGAGATGAAAGTATCAACTAGGGAGATGAAAGTATCAACTAGGGAGATGAAAGTATCAACTAGGGAGATGAAAGTATCAACAAGGGAGATGAAAGTATCAACTAGGGGGATGAAAGTATCAACTAGGGAGATGAAAGTATCAACTGGGGAGATGAAAGTATCAACTAGGGAGATGACAGTATCAACTGGGGAGATGAAAGTATCAACTAGGGAGATTAAAGTATCAACTAGGGAGACGAAAGTATCAACTAGGGGGATGAAAGTATCAACTAGGGAGATGAAAGTATCAACTGGGGAGATGAAAGTATCAACAAGGGAGATGAAAGTATCAACTGGGGAGATGAAAGTATCAACAAGGGAGATGAAAGTATCAACTAGGTAGATACAAGTATCAACTAGGGAGATGACAGTTTCAACTAGGGAGATGAAAGTATCAACTAGGGAGATGAAAGTATCAACTAGGGAGATGAAAGTATCAACTAGGGAGATGAAAGTATCAACTGGGGAGATGAAAGTATCAACTGGGGAGATGAAAGTATCAACTAGGTAGATAAAAGTATCAACTAGGGAGATGACAGTTTCAACTAGGGAGATGAAAGTATCAACTAGGGAGATGAAAGTATCAACTAGGGAGATGAAAGTATCAACTAGGGAGATGAAAGTATCAACTAGGGAGATGAAAGTATCAACAAGGGAGATGAAAGTATCAACTAGGAAGTTTAAAGTATCAACTAGGGAGATGAAAGTATCAACTAGGGAGATGAAAGTATCAACTAGGGAGATGAAAGTATCAACTAGGGAGATGAAAGTATCAACTAGGGAGATGAAAGTATCAACAAGGGAGATGAAAGTATCAACTAGGAAGTTTAAAGTATCAACTAGGGTGATGAAAGTATCAACTAGGGTGATGAAAGTATCAACTAGGGATATGAAAGTATCAACTAGGGAGATGAAAGTATCAACTAGGTAGATGAAAGTATCAACTAGGGAGATGAAAGTATCAACTAGAGAGATGAAAGTATCAACTAGGGAGATGAAAGTATCAACTAGGGGGATGAAAGTATCAACTAGGGAGATAAAAGTATCAACTAGGGAGATGAAAGTATCAACTAGGGAGATGAAAGTATCAACTAGGGAGATGAAAGTATCATCTACGTGGATGGTATTTATTTTAAACTGTGGCACTAATACGCTTCCATACGTTAGAGAGTAAAGCAACACCTTTCTGATATCTGCATTTAAGCGATTCTCAGTTGTCATTCGTTATTCAAGACGTCACAAATTGATAAGATTATCTCAAATATAAGCTGACGTCAGCGAAAATATTCTTCAGGGTGTTTTTTTTATACGCTTATTCATTTTTTTTCTTCAAATCACAATGCGTAATACCCAGCATGGAATAAACAACTCGGAAGTCGTGATATGTTGTGTAAGTCAATGTAGAAATATCGACAGCAGGTGTTATTCGTAAACCAGTGCATATCGACAATCAGAGAAGATAATCGGTCAGGGTATATCATCAGGGTTGTATCATCAGGGTATACCATCACCATCATTCCCTTACCTGAAGAAATTGCTGCAGCACACCGAGTTCAGACTTCCACAGCAATAGCCATAGCAGTAGGTGGTGGTGAAGCTGTAAGGGTTGTAACAGTACGCAGACGCATGACAGGCTGAAACACATAGTTTACCTTCAAACCCGTTCAAACAGGTCGTGATCGTGTACTGCATGGTGTATTTCATAGTGTTCACCCCGTGTCAGTTTATATATGATACAACTAGCAATGTGCTAGGCGATATATTTCATAGTGTTCACTCCGCGTCAGTTTATATATGATACAACTAGCAATGTGCTAGGCGATATATTTCATAGTGTTCACTCCGCGTCAGTTTATATATGATACAACTAGCAATGTGCTAGGCGATATATTTCATAGTGTTCACTCCGCGTCAGTTTATATATGATACAACTAGCAATGTGCTAGGCGATATATTTCATAGTGTTCACTCCGTGTCAGTTTATATATGATACAACTAGCAATGTGCTAGGCGATATATTTCATAGTGTTCACTCCGCGTCAGTTTATATATGATACAACTAGGCATGTGCTAGGCGATATATTTCAAAGTGTTCACCCCGCGTCAGTTTATATATGATACAACTAGGCATGTGCTAGGCGATATATTTCAAAGTGTTCACTCCGCGTCAGTTTATATGTGATACAACTAGGCATGTGCTAGGCGATATATTTCATAGTGTTCACCCCGTGTCAGTTTATATATGACACTACAACTAGGCAAGTGCTAGGCGATATATTTCATAGTGTTCACTCCATGTCAGCTTATATATGATACTACAACTAGTCATGTGTCAGGTGATACATTTCATAGTGTTAAACCCGTGTCAATTTATATCTGACACTACAACTAGGCATGTGCTAGGCGATATATTTCATAGTGTTCACCCTGTGTCAATTTATAGCTGATACTACAACCAGCCATGCTCTAGGTGATATATTTCATAGTGTTCACCCTGTGTCAGTTTTTATATACACATGCACAAAAGTTAAGAGCCACCATATTCATAGTCTCTTGATTTCATGTGTGGGAATCAGAAATACGAAATATGATGATGTATGACTGAATTAGGCTTCCATAGTTTCATGAACCCAAATTTGTCCAGATACCACAAGGAAAGCGTGCTTTACGTGTTGCTGCAGTTCCCCTACCCTATAAATAGTGAAATTCAAGTTTCAGACACGTGGTTGCATTTTACTCCTGTGTGAGATTCCCCTTCCAATAGAGGTTGAAAATCAGCCATGGTAAGGAGAAAGTTAACGAACGCTGAAAGATGGCAAGTGATAGGCATGAAAAATGCTGGCATGTCATGCAGGGCCATTGCAAGACAAATGGGTCGTCATCACAGTGTTATCACTCGTTTTATTGTCAAACATGGTCATACCAATGATGTCAATGACAGGCATAGGTCTGGTAGGCCAAGAAAGACCTATAACAGAGAGGATAGACGTCTTTTCAGGATAGTCAGACGAAATCCATTTGCCACTTCAACAGATTTAAGACTGCAGTGGATTACCCATCAGAGACTCTCGACGATGACCGTAAGGCGTCGCCTCAGAGCGGCTGGTTATAACGCCAGAAGACCGGTAAAATGTCCTCAACTGACTGAGAGGCACATGCGGAATCGTCTGATATGGTGTCGTACCCGTAGTCGATGGAACTTGGCCAACTGGAGAAGGGTCCATTGGTCTGACGTGTGTCGAATGCTGCTACGAGCTGTTGATGGTCGAATACGTGTTTGGAGGCAACGTAACACTCGGTTTGCACCAAGGAACATCCAGAAGACCTTAGCATGTGGCGAGGGGTCTGTCATGATATGGGGTTGTGTTTCCTTCGGCAGCAAACTTCCGCTGGTGACAATTCGTGGAAACCTGAATGGCCAACAATACCAAGATGCCGTTCTTCGTCCAGTGGTAGTCCTCTTCAGACAAGACTTCTTTACATGGACGACAATGCTAGACCACACAGATCTCGGGCAGTTTGGGCTTATTTGCGTCAAGAAGCTATTGCTACTCTTCCTTGGCCGGCCTGTAGTCCGGATCTTAATCCGATTGATCATCTCTGGGACATTCTTGGCCGGAAAATCAGACATCGTGATCCCCCAGTTCAAAATATCGCTGGACATGAAGCCGCACTTCATGAAGAATGGATCCGTTTGCCTCAGAGAAGCATTCAACGACTTGTAATGAGTATGAGGCGTAGGGTTGAAGCTGTGGTCAATGTCCATGGATCATACATACGTTACTGACGTTTCTGTCTTGCAGTAGACTCTGCACTCCCTAGGGTGTCTATGTGACACCTGATATGGTCTGCTGATATCATGACAGTTACATGACAAAAAAAGTTTTTCCATGTTTTCTTATCCTACAATTTCTGGTCTTCGGTAAAATTCCTTTCTGCTCATATTCTTTTGGAACTTGAATTGGGACAACTTTTGCATCACATGAGGTTTACATATACGGCTTATAACAATCGTACATCTCGTTATAATAGTCATCATTAAGTGCCAAAAGTAACAGCTCACAAATATGGTGGGTGGCGCTTTACTTTTGTGCATGTGTATATGTTACTCTACAACTAGGCAGGTGCTAGGCGATATATTTCATTGTGTTTAATCCGTGGCAGTATATAAATGTTATTCTACAACTAGACATGTGCTAGGCGATATATTTCATAGTGTTCACCCTGTGTCAGTTTATAGATGTTACTCTACAACTAGGCATGTGCTGGGCGATATATTTCATAGTGTTCACTCGTGTCAGTGTCTATCTGATACTATAACAAGCGATTACTGGACACAAATAACCCAGCTTTGTCACTCACCTTGTATAAGCGCAAAACAAAGGGCCACAATCGGTAAAATAACATCCATGTTCAACTTATATTAAATTTAAGACAGTACTTAACCACTGATTTTCTTCACGACAAACAACACTGCTTGTGTACCGTCTCCTTACGTAATTGATATTAGAAGCAGCAGCTATTATTACATAATATCACACCGTGACTAAATTACTAACCAATAGAGAGGGGGTTCTTTGCAGATAGGTCATACACGTACCATTAAGGTTGACTGTAAATAAAAGCGACAAAACGCTTTGCATAATCATAAGACATTTCTACGAAAAGCAGTCCATTGTACGATTCTGAGTAAATTGGGAGCATGAAACACTTTCAAACAGTGTTGATACTAGGTGTATAAACACAGCCATGGTGACAAACAATACATTCGAAGTGAGTTGCCCGTTACAATCGATTCAAGCAACATTCCCTCGTTCGCCACGTGCTATAGGGTGATATTAGTTGTCGAGTTATGAAATATCTCAAACAATATAGAATAGGCTTATATCAGCTCTCTGCATTATTAGGCATGTGGTTTTGGTAGGTATCCGGAATATTGTAGAGTTTGTAAGCTTTCAACACCAACATAGTGCGTGGTGGTCACATAACAGAAGCAGTAGAGTGTTTGGCTTGAATGCTCGCTGGCAGAGCAAATAATAGAGTCATGTCAGTATCAGAACGTAGCAGTGTTTGGCTTGATTGCTCTCTGGCAGAGCAAATAATAGAGTTTTGTCAGTATCAGAACATATTGGGCTAGACAGCTCTGTGTGGCAGAGTACAGAATAGAGTTATGTCAGTATCAGAAAATAGCATAGTATTGGTCCTGACTGCTCTCTATAGCAGCAAAATACATGGTAATAAGAGTTATTTGAAGAAGCAGAATGCAGGATGGTATCAGGTCTGTGCAACAGTGTCAACCTTGTGGGGAATGGAATTCAGTAGAGTTATTCATATTTTCATATCGTTTTCTGAGTTGATCGTATTGAGTTGTGACGTCATTGTTTTGGGAAAGTGACGATGCTAGTTTCTCAATAGTGGTTATCATTATCTAAACAATAAGCTAGGATAATGTAAATAAGTCTCTAACTGTGACGTAGGTTTGGCATTTTGCAAGTTTTAGCAACTTTGGAGACATAAATTGCGAAACAATTTAGCGACGACACCAGCCGGATCATATCTTGTATTAAGTATATAAACTGTGCATTTACTCGTAGCTCGCCAGTGCTCGTAATCATTGACTTTTTTACTGAAATGACGTCATAACTTTCCACCTTCAAATAATGAAATGACCTTTCAGAATTTGAGGGCAAATGTGAAATTATTTGCTTATCTTCCCTAGAATGAATATTACAGTATCTGTACAAATATTTGAAATGTTTGCATTGATATAAAAAAACACAAAACATGAATAACAAAAGTGGATTTATTCCAAGAAGCTAACACATCATAGATTCTTCATGACACTTTCTTGACAAACACATAGGGATCGCAGATTGTATGCAATGGCCATTCCTCGGTTGCTCGATAGCAACATTACTTATATTAAATAAATGATGGTTGACTTTTTTTCAGAATATCAAAACATGTAGGGGTTATTGTGGTATAATTATCAAGGTCTTTCATTTCAGCTGTCGATAAAACTGCCACCTCACAGTCCAGACATTCAGTGTTCCACGCCATGTTTCATGTACTGATCATCCAACATTCATAATGAGGACACACGAAGTCCCTTCCTTATAATTCAAAACCCGCCTAGGCACCAGGGGATAATTCCCAAGCTTATGTATTAAATATGTCTCCATATTCATAAGTAAGATATGTCTGTTAAAAACAGAGTCCACTGTACGATTCCGACTATATAATAAGCATATATTTATGAATCACTAGCCAATGCATTGTGATGAAACTAGGTGTTCTCGAAATGGTGAGCGGATCCTGCCCCACCGGTGGCACCCGTCACAAACACATTCAAAGGCAAGTGAATTGTTCATCTGGAAAAACACGGGCACATATGATACGAGTCAAATAGGGAATTGCAGCTGACATTATTGATGTGACTGATGCGTCACATTTAGAAATCCCTCCATATGTCTACCATAAAACGTTTTGAAAGCTTTACTAGCCTTGAATGTTGTAAACTTGTCAAACACCTTTTTAGCTAGAGTCGTATGACGTTCTTCGTTGAAAGATCATGCTAGAATAATGCCTTGGCACTTAAAATAATTTAGAAAACCGAATACGCATAGGAAACTAATTTCAAGACTGAAGTTTTCTCTTTACATCTTTAATAAAACCGAATATGCGTAGGAAACTAATTTCCAGACTTCAGTATTCTCTTGTCATCTTCCATAAAACCGAATATGTATAGGAAACTATTTTCTAGACTTCAGTATTCTCTTGACATCTTAAATAATCTTTTGATATCTTGAGTGTCAGGCAATACGACAATACAGGCATGGTGTACTTAAAAAGGTTTTTTTCACATCAACAACCCTTTTCGAGTTGATTTCAGTGGATATGCAATAAGTCATTTTGATATCAAGCATATGTCCCTGTCTTTTGCTGATGTTGTTTAAGGATTAACTGGACCTCCTGTTGGTGGCGGAGGGGCAGTTCCCGGAGGTGGAGCTTGACCAGGAGGAGGAGCAGTTCCAGAAGATGAACCAGCCAGGCTATAGGGGGGAGGGCCTGGAGGTGGAGCCTCACCAGTGGGTGGGGCTAGACCACCAGGTGGAGGGTGATATGGGGGAGGAGGGGGTGGAGGGTATGCCGGATTGCCTCCCGGGGGTGGGTATGCCGGATTGCCTTCCGGGGGTGGGTATGCCGGATTTCCTCCCGGGGGTGGGTATGCCGGATTGCCCCCTGGGGGTGGATATGCCGGATTACTTCCCGGTGGGGGATATGCCGCATATCCTCCAGGGGGTGGATATGATTTTGGACCTGGTCCCGAGGAATAAGGTGGGGGTCCACCTGCCTGTGGCCCAGGGTATGGGGCTGGGCCGCTTGACTGCCCTGGAATACATTAAAACATCAACGTGAGTTACAAGTGTGCAGAGTTTGTGATTAAGTTGGATAATAAAAATTTAGCAGTATTCGTTCCTTTCCACATTTCAGTTTTCTGTCCTTAAACATTACTACAGTGCGATACACAAAACAAAGTATTCACAAAAGACAAAATTGCATTCTGATACATTATCAAGTTGTTGATTTTTATTGATAATAGTATGTTAATCTCATTATAATAATAAAAATAGTAACGTTACACATACCGCTGTAAACAAATACATTGGACTGAGGTTGAGGTTGGACAACTCGTCCTCGTGTTCCAGTCTTGGTGCAACTCTTGATGAGAAACACGATGATGATAATACAGATGACGAGGCCAATGATTCCCCCTATTGAGTAGCCAATGATTCTTCCCCAGCTGAAAGACAATGATCAAATTGAAACCATTTGACAGTCGACACCGTTTTGACATGACACCTCTTGGGTGGCGGTTAATGATAATTGATATACAGTCAATTTGAAATCATTAATATGCAACCATACAGTCTGTTTGAGATTATTGATATATAGCATATTAAGTATAAGTATACAGTATATATCCTATATATCTCCAGGGTTAGCATTTCGATGTGTCCACATTATAGTCTGGAAGTTAATTTAATGGGTGTCTTAAGCAGTTATTTAATAATATTTATCCAATTATTTTTGCATTCTTTTTCAGGTCAGTGTTATTGACTTGAATGTATCATTCCTTGACACATTATTATATTTCATGAATCGTGTTATTAGGTGTAATATATCATACGTAGTTATTCATTTAGACAAATCATTGCATTATGTTTCGAAGAAAATATTTTAATATTTTCGTAGATGATTCGAGACTTTCGGGGCTGTTTCGGGTGAAAGAGAATCAAATTCTGAGCCAAGAATTGCACAAAGTGGACAAGATCCGATTACGACATGTACTACAAAGCACGAACCTGAAATTCGTAGACGATTCCTAGAAATTCTTTGATAAAAAAAAAACGTTCTCACGAATCCCACGAACTACAAGAATGTTTGGGAATCAAATATATTTAAGATTCTTAAGAAATGATTAAGAATATGTACGAATATGTAAGAATTCATATCCGTGGTAATTCGGGCTATTACATGTCGTAGTGAAACAGGGGTATATGTATTGCACTATTGTTGGTCCCATGAAATGCCGTCGTCGTCAGATTCGGAGTCTGTGCTGTCACCTAAATGAACAACAGGTTGGACAGTTTCTGGTCGGATACAGTCTTGTTTCCAATACTCTTCTTCAACTTTGATAACATGTTGGACACAGTTTGCCCCACGTACATCTGTAATTTCTCCCATCCCTTTCAAGACAATCTGCTTGACGTTGGCAAGCTTGAAGGTCTTATTTTGCCGTGCGACCATATTTTTCAAATCACCCCAGATTAGTTCGATGGGATTCAAGTCACAATGGTAAGGAGGAAGTCTAAGCACTTCGTGACCGTGTTCTCTCAACATGTTGTCAATCACATAAGAGGGCGGGGGGTTGTTCTGAAGAAACAGTTGGTAGTAGTCAGTTTTTTTGGCTTTCGTGGGCCGAGCAATGCGGTTGTTGTCCAACCACTGACATATCTCACCTTTGGTGGAATTTGAGGTAGGACAACGGTTAATAGGATCTCGACAACTGTGATAGGGAGCATTGTCCATAACCACCAAGGATTTATCAGGCAGTGCTAAGAGGAGCTGCTCCTCAACATACGCAGTGAAAACCTGACTATTCATCTCGGTATGGCAGTCTCTGCCATCTGTAGATCTGGATCTGAACACTAGATCACACCCAGGGAGGAAACCTCTGTGGGAGCCTGCATGGAGGACAATCAGGCGCTCCCCTTTACCAGGGGGGATCTTGCGCTGTGGCTCTCTGGTATCTGGGTGAGACCATTGGTAAGCCGCTGTGTGGCAGGCGTTAACCCAGGTTTCGTCCAAATAGACAGGCTCATAGCCTTCTTCTCGTTTCCTTGTAATAGTGCGCAAATAATTGATACGCAAACGAATGATATCTGGTCGTTCACACATTGCTAGTTTCGACCCTTTCGTCTTTTTGTACTGATATCCAAATTTGGAAAGGAGTTAACAAATGGTCCATTTGGAAATATCTAAGTCATGCTCTGTAAGGAGAATTTGTTTTAGTTTTCATGTTGAAATAAATTCATTTTCTAGTGTTAACCTTCGAATCACGTCCCTGACAACTTTCTTATCAAAGGAATCTAACTTTAATTTTCTATCCTGTTTCGAGATGCCCCCTAAGGGATATGCAGGGGAGCATGTGTTTTTATGAGAGTTCAAAATCTTAACTACGGTTTGTTTGGGAAGCTGTAACACATGAATTGTTCTTTTCATGTACTTTGAAATGTCAAAGAAGGGCGAACGTCTTTCACTTTCAGCCTTAAAGTATTCAAATATTTTAACAACGAAACCTTTCGCATCAGCGGAAAGATGCTTGCGCTGAGACATCATGAAATCTAATGCTAACACCGTATTCGTGCGTGCGTGATTCCCGTGCAACCTTTCGAGTTGAGTTGATTGGTTCAACTGTGTCATATGGCCCTGTGACGCAGGGGTAGCATTATGCAGATGGCTGTTACAATGAATGCTCCTTCCACCCGTGACGAACAGGTTTGGTTGTTGATGAAATTTAGTGATAGCTAAATAGACTGATTTTGTATTCATGCACCGATTGTCTTTAAATGTAATATCCAGTTATGTATGACTGTTTAATAATCTCATACCAACTTTGACTGGAGTAGGTCCAATAGCTTTTCAGATATCGTAGTAAACGTCGGTACCCTAAATTAACTTCCAGACTATAGTTATATACAGTCGGTTTATGATCATAGATAAACAAGTATACAATCGGTTTGAGTTTATCTATATACATGTATACGCTCGGTTTGAAAACATTGATATACAAGTTTAGTAGGTTTGAGATCATAGATAAACAAGTATACGCTCGGTTTGAGATAATTGATATACATGTATACGCTCGGTTTGAGATCATTGATATTCTAATATAATAGGTTTGATAGCATTGATACACAAGAATACGCTTGGTTTCAGATAATTTATATACAAATATAAAGTCTATTTGAGATCATTGATATACAAGTATACACTCGGTTTGAGATCATTGATATACAAGAAAACGGTCGATATGAGATCATTGACAAACAAGAAAACAGTCGATATGAGATCATTGATGTACAAGTCTACACTCGGTTTGAGATCATTGATATGCTAATATAATAGGTTTGACAGCATTGATATACAAGAATACGCTTGGTTTCAGATAATTTATATACAAATATAAAGTCTATTTGAGATCATTGATATACAAGTATACACTCGGTTTAGTAGGTTTGAGATCATAGTTAAACAAGTACACGCTCGGTTTGAGATAACTCATATACAAATATAAAGTCTATTTGAGATCATTGATATACAAGTATTCACTCGGTTTGAGATCATTGATATACAAGTTTAGTAGGTTTGAGATCATAGATAAACAAGTACACGCTCGGTTTGAGATAACTGATATACAAATATAAAGTCTATTTGAGATCATTGATATACAAGTATACAGTCGGTTTGAGATCATTGATATACAAGAAAACGGTCGAAATGAGATCATTGACAAACAAGAAAACAGTCGATATGAGATCATTGAAGTACAAGTATACACTCGGTTTGAGATCATTGATATACACGTACAGTAGGTTTGAGATCATCGATATACAAGTATACAGTCGACATGAGACCATTGATATACAAGTATACACTCGGTTTGAGATCATTGATATACAAGTATACACTCGGCTTAAGATCATCGATATACAAGTATACACTCGGTTTGAGGTGAGGTGAAATTGGGTTTAACGTCGCGTCCAAGATTATTGCACTTATATAGCGACGTGCATGCACGTGTATGTGTGTGTGTGGCTGCTTGTACTAGTCCGGACTGATGCCGATTTATAGTGCTAGCTCACTGAGATACCATGCCGCAGTTTAACATGAATACCCCACTCAGACACAGTATACTGACTCCGAGCCGACCAGTCCTTGTTTTAGCCCCTTAATGCCGAGCGCCAGACAGGGTAACAACAAGTACAATCTTTTAATGTCTTTTTGTATGACGCGACCCGGGATCGAACCCTGGACCTTCCGCTCTCCGGGCGGACGCTCTACCACTAGACCACGGAGGCGGTCTCACTCGGTTTGAGAGCATTGATATACAAGTTTAGTAGGTTTGAGATCATAGATAAACAAGTACACGCTCGGTTTGAGATAATTGAAATACAAATATACAGTCTATTTGAGATCATTGATATACAAGTATACACTCGGTTTGAGATCATTGATATACACGTACAGTAGATTTGAGATCATCGATATACAAGTATACAGTCGATATGAGATCATTGATATCAAAGTATACAATCGACATGAGATCATTGACACAAAAGAAAACAGTCGATATGAGATCATTGATATGCAAGAAAACAGTCGAAATGAGATCATTGACATAAAAGAAAACAGTCGACATGACACAAAAGAAAACAGTCGATATGAGATCATTGATATGCAAGAAAATAATCGATATACCCTATGGCATAATTTCTGCAATTTTGTTGCAAGTTCCACCGGCGAAACAATGCCATGTGACGTCAGCCTAGCAACAGGGTTGTTGGGTTCATCGATTGTGCATTAGGCCCTCTCAGTGATCTATCATCTCTACACGCAGTATCGTTGAATTAGCCCGGGATATTGAGAGTTTTCAATATTTGTTCGTGAAACTTGTTCCCGTAGGAAATAAGCACGCACAGTGATATTACACAATGTGAAATACAGCTGAATATTTATTAAGGGGTGATCTCTTCGCGGGCAAGTAATAAATTAGTGATGTGAACATCATCTGTGTATCACTACTGTCGGTATGAATCATAAATCAGTTATATGAACACCGTAGTATATCATCACAGTCGGTGTATATCATCACAGTCGGTGTATATCATAACAGTCAGTGTATATCACCACAGTCGGTGTGCATCACCAGTCAGGGTGTATCATAAATCAGTGACATGATTACTGTCCGTCTATCACGAAGGCGGTGTGCAACATATATAAATCTTCAGCAACCCATGTTTGTTGTAAAAGGCGACTATGCTTGTTGTAAGAGGCGACTAACGGGATCGGGTGGTATCCCGATTGCGTGGATCAATGCTCATGACATCAATCACTGGATTGTCTGGTCCAGACTCGATTATTTACAGACTGCCGTCATTTATCTTGAATATTGCTGAGTGCGGCGTTAAACAACAAACAAACAAAATATAACAATATGAGTGGGGGGGTCGCTTACCTGTAATAATAGCAGCATGATGTGCTAAGCGTCCCACAGCAGTAGCCAGAGCAGTAGGAGCCGTAACAGTAGTCCGCGGCATGACAGGCTGAAACAGGTTCAAACCAGTTTAACAGAGAATTTCGAATGATCGTGAAAAAAGTTAACTCAGTTTTCATCATCTTGGATGACAGTCTGGTGGTATTATTCCTTCAGGGTGTTCACTCCAACACTGTCTGTCTAATACTTCAAGGCATGTACTAGACGATGTATTTCAGGGTGTTCACTCCAACACTGTCTGTCTAATACTTCAAGGCATGTGCTAGACGATGTATTTCAGGGTGTTCACTCCAACACTGTCTGTCTGATACTACGAGGCATGTACAAGACGATGTATTTCAGGGTGTTCACTCCAACACTGTCTGTCTGATACTACAAGGCATGTACTAGACTATGTATTTCAGGGTGTTCACTCCAACACTGTCTGTCTGATACTACAAGGCATGTACTAGACGATGTATTTCAGGGTGTTCACTCCAACACTGTCTGTCTGATACTAAAAGGCATGTACTAGACAATATATTTCAGGGTGTTCACTCCAACACTGTCTGTCTGATACTACAAGGCATGTACTAGACGATGTATTTCAGGTTGTTCACTCCAACACTGTCTGTCTGATACTACATGGCATGTACTAGACGATGTATTTCAGGGTGTTCACTCCAACACTGTCTCTCTGATATTACAAGGCATGTACTAGACGATGTATTTCAGGGTGTTCACTCCAACACTGTCTCTCTGATACTACAAGGCATGTACTAGACGATGTATTTCAGGGTGTTCACTCCAACACTGCCTGCCTGATACTACAAGGCATGTACTAGACGATGTATTTCAGGGTGTTCACTCCAACACTGTCTGTCTGATACTACAAGGCATGTACTAGACGATGTATTTCAGGGTGTTCACTCCAACACTGTCTGTCTGATACTAAAAGGCATGTACTAGACGATGTATTTCAGGGTGTTCACTCCAACAGTGGCTGTCTGATACTAAAAGGCATGTACTAGACGATGTATTTGAGGGTGTTCACTACAACACTGTCTGTCTGATACTACAAGGCATGTACTAGACGATGTATTTCAGGGTGTTCACTCCAACACTGTCTGTCTGATACTACAAGGCATGTACTAGACGATGTATTTCAGGGTGTTCACTCCAACACTGTCTGTCTGATACTACAAGGCATGTACTAGACTATGTATTTCAGGGTGTTCACTCCAACACTGTCTGTCTGATACTACAAGGCATGTACTAGACGATGTATTTCAGGGTGTTCACTCCAACACTGTCTGTCTGATATTACAAGGCATGTACTAGACGATGTATTTCAGGGTGTTCACTCCAACAGTGCCTGCCTGATACTACAAGGCATGTACTAGACGATGTATTTCAGGGTGTTCACTCAAACACTGTCTGCCTGATACAACAAGACATGTACTAGACGATGTATTTCAGAGAATACACTCCAACAGTGTCTGATACTACAAGGCATGTGCTAGACGATGTATTTCAGGGTGTTCACTCCAACACTGTCTGCCTGGTACAACAAGGCATGTACAAGACGATGTATTTCAGGGTGTTCACTCCAACACTGTCTGCCTGGTACAACAAGGCATGTACAAGACGATGTATTTCAGGGTGTTCACTCCAACACTGTCTGCCTGGTACAACAAGGCATGTACAAGACGATGTATTTCAGGGTGTTCACTCCAACACTGTCTGCCTGGTACAACAAGGCATGTACTAGGCGATGTATTTCAGGGTGTTCACTCCAACACTGTCTGTCTGATACTACAAGGCATGTACTAGACGATGTATTTCAGGGTGTTCACTCCAACACTGTCTGTCTGATACTACAAGGCATGTACTAGACGATGTATTTCAGGGTGTTCACTCCAACACTGGCTGATACTACAAGGCATGTACTAGACGATGTATTTCAGGGTGTTCACTCCAACACTGCCTGCCTGATACTACAAGGCATGTACTAGACGATGTATTTCAGGGTGTTCACTCCAACACTGTCTTTCTGATACTACAAGGCATGTACTAGACGATGTATTTCAGGGTGTTCACTCCAACACTGTCTTTCTGATACTACAAGGCATGTTCTAGACGATGTATTTCAGGGTGTTCACTCCAACACTGTCTGATACTACAAGGCATGTACTAGACGATGTATTTCAGGGTGTTCACTCCAACACTGTCTGATACTACAAGGCATGTACTAGACGATGTATTTCAGGGTGTTCACTCCAACACTGTCTGATACTACAAGGCATGTTCTAGACGATGTATTTCAGGGTGTTCACTCCAACACTGTCTGATACTACAAGGCATGTACTAGACAATATATTTCAGGGTGTTCACTCCAACACTGGCTGATACTACAAGGCATGTACTAGACGATGTATTTCAGGGTGTTCACTCCAACACTGTCTGTCTGATATTACAAGGCATGTACTAGACGATGTATTTCAGGGTGTTCACTCCAACACTGCCTGCCTGATACTACAAGGCATGTTCTAGACTTTGTATTTCAGGGTGTTCACACCAACACTGTCTCCCTGATACTACAATGCATGTACTAGACGATGTATTTCAGGGTGTTCACTCCAACACTGTCTGTCTGATACTACAAGGCATGTACTAGACGATGTATTTCAGGGTGTTCACTCCAACGATGTCTGATACTACAAGGCATGTACTATACGATGTATTTCAGGGTGTTCACTCCAACACTGTCTGTCTGATACTACAAGGCATGTACTAGACGATGTATTTCAGGGTGTTCACTCCAACGATGTCTGATACTACAAGGCATGTACTAGACGATGTATTTCAGGGTGTTCACTCCAACACTGTCTGTCTGATACTACAAGGCATGTAATAGACTTTGTATTTCAGGGTGTTCACTCCAACACTGTCTCCCTGATACTACAAGGCATACACTAGACGATGTATTTGAGGGTGTTCACTCCAACACTGTCTGTCTGATACTACAAGGCATGTACTAGACGATGTATTTCAGGGTGTTCACTCCAACACTGTCTGTCTGATACTTCAAGGCATGTACTAGACTTTGTATTTGAGGGTGTTCACTCCAACACTGTCTCCCTGATACTACAAGGCATGTACTAGACGATGTATTTCAGGGTGTTCACTCCAACACTGTCTGATACTACAAGGCATGTACTAGACGATGCATTTCAGGGTGTTCACTCCAACCGTGTCTGTCTGATACTACAAGGCATGTACTAGACGGTGCATTTCAGGGTGTTCACTCCAACACTGTCTGTCTGATACTACATGGCATGTACAAGACGATGTATTTCAGGGTGTTCACTCCAACAGTGTCTGCCTGATACTACAAGGCATGTACTAGACGATGTATTTCAGGGTGTTCACTCCAACACTGTCTGCCTGATACTACATGGCATGTACAAGACGATGTATTTCAGGGAATTCATTACGGGTTACATTATCTGTATTTTTTATTCTTTTATAAGCAGAATACCATAATGACATCATGAGAAAGTGTAACCTAAAAACAATAATCTTATATTGTCACTTACCTTGTACGAGGACAAGAAAAAGGGAGGCAGCTGGTAAAAATACGTCCATTTCTTATCCCAGATTACAACAACTATGCTTTATCACGTTATTCCTCATGCAGACATCTGTAGTCAGACTACGTCATGGATGTACTTGGAACAGACAGTACACTAACAGCGGGCACCTCCTGAATTGAATTGGAAGCCGTAGTTGGAGATATGTCAAAGTTATTGTATGGCTGACCCAAAGTCAAACCCACTTGAATAAGGCAGCGCTATTTCATGACGATCAGATCCTCCAACAAAGCAATATGGGTGAACCCCTTGCCCCAGTAATGTTGTTTGTAAACACAGCCATGGCGACAAACGCGCTTCACGGGTCGTTTGGAATAATAAACCTCAAACGCAATAAAACGCCGACAGGTATTGCATGTCTCAGTGAGTAATATGGGTGGTATGGTAAAGAGTGCGGTCTCGTGGGGATTCAGGGCAGTGAGTGAGTGAGTGAGTGAGTGAGTGAGTGAGTGAGTGAGTGAGTGAGTGAGTGAGTGAGTGAGTGAGTGAGTGAGTGAGTGAGTGAGTGAGTGAGTGAGTGAGTGAGTGAGTGAGTGAGTGAGTGAGTGAGTGAGTGAGTGAGTGAGTGAGTGAGTGAGTGAGTGAGTGAGTGAGTGAGTGAGTGAGTGAGTGAGTGAGTGAGTGAGTGAGTGAGTGAGTGAGTGAGTGAGTGAGTGAGTGAGTGAGTGAGTGAGTGAGTGAGTGAGTGAGTGAGTGAGTGAGTGAGTGAGTGAGTGAGTGAGTGAGTGAGTGAGTGAGTGAGTGAGTGAGTGAGTGAGTGAGTGAGTGAGTGAGTGAGTGAGTGAGTGAGTGAGTGAGTGAGTGAGTGAGTGAGTGAGTGAGTGAGTGAGTGAGTGAGTGAGTGAGTGAGTGAGTGAGTGAGTGAGTGAGTGAGTGAGTGAGTGAGTGAGTGAGTGAGTGAGTGAGTGAGTGAGTGAGTGAGTTTTAACGCCGCTTTGACATTTAATTCAGTCAAAAGATGAATATGAAAAGAAAGTCTGGCTACATTGGTTCTGGTACTTTTAATAAGCGATGTTTTGTCCATGTAGACATTTCAGCATTTCAGTCGACCCCTCAGACTTTGAGATTATTAATATTATCAAAACAATTTTTACTGAGGCATAAAGCAAACTTGCAAAAATACGTTTATTACTTCCCACATGTGGATTTACAAAAGGGTATCTTTGATTTGGGTTATCTTCGTGTACAATAATGCGACTGTCTACGCGATACAGCTTGTTTAGCAATAACTCGTCAAATAAACAGCGACCAATAAGAACTTCGTGTTTTGATTTACCATCAATATCATAGTTTTGACCTTGAAGTGAAATAAACCTTATTTGTCAGACAGTTTAGTATGGGTAGCTTATAAAACCATGTGATACTTAAATCTTGCGATAATGGATCAGTCCTAATAGACTAGTGGTAGAGCGTCCGTCCGGAGAGCGGAAGGTCCGGGGTTCGATCCCCGACCGCGTCATACCAAAAGACGTTAAAAGATGGAACTTGTTGTTACCTTGTCTGGCGCTCGGGATAAGGGGATAAAACAAGGACCGGTCGGCTCGGAGTCAGTATACTGTGTCTGAGTGGGGTATTCATGTTAAACTGCGGCATGGTATCTCAGTGGGCTAGCACTATAAATCGGCATCAGTCCGGACTAGTTCAAGCAGCCACACACACACACACGTGCATTCACGTCGCTATATCGATTCTTGATAGGCCGGCATGATACAACTGGAATATTGATGGTGCTAACCCTCACATCCCGAATACATCTCATTTATTTTTCAATTACATTATCATTGTTCATCCAAGAATCCTGAATATTACTTAACAGTGTTAACACAAATCTCAAAAGCATTAAGAAAAGGGTGTGATTTGATGTAAAACAACAGAAATAAATATCGAAAAAAAATAATTATATTACAAAGGAAGCGTTTGCGTACTGCATTATTTTTTTTAAATGTTGAGTCTGCGTACCAAATACGATTATATTTGTGTCCCAGTACCACACTGCAGAGTCCCGAATACCCTTTAAATAGATTCCCGAATCCCACGTACTATATGACTGTAGATTTGCAGTCTCAATATTACTGGACCAGTGATGATCCGGGTTAGAATAGGTCATCAGCAACCCATGCTTGCCGTTAGACGCCACTCTGCTTGTCGACATGGGCGACTAATGTACTGTCGGAAATGCTAGAAAAATGCCTTTTGCCTGTTAAAAAAGGATATCATTTTTCACAGAATGTTGTTATTGAAATATCGAGTAACTATCGATCGACCTACCTGCGGTTCGACGTATTTCAGTTACATGGAGTCCTATCGACAAGCTTACAGTAGACAAATTCGAAAGAAAACAGGAAATTCACAATGATGGCAGTCTGAAACGGACAATAGAAATATGCGCACGTGACTCCGTTATAATGATAATAATGTAGTCTTCATAAAACATCTAATCCACACACAAAAATCATTTGAAGCAAATTCTAGATGTGCATCTTCTAAAATGACAAAATGACGCTGCGTTTGTTTAGCTCCCATGATGCATGTTACACTACACTTGCATAGTCACAGCCTGTACTTGGAAATGTATACAAGTTCTTTACACTTTAGAGAGGTAGAGGGAAACCATTTATTAATATAGATAGGATGAATGACCGAACTGTCCAAGCTATGGGGTTTTCAATTTCAATAAGTTTACGGTATGATAATTAAAACAAAACAGGTATAGGGGTGGTCTCAAAAACAAAACTGGGACGTAAAAGGATATTAGACAGCTTTAATACAGGGTGATTAGGCGTATAGTGTACAAGCTTTATGAGCAGAAGGTAACCCTGACTTGTAGAATTTGGGAGGAAATTAAAGATACAATTAATGTTTCCATGAATGCACTAATTATTGCTCTCCTAGAGATGGGATTTCGATACACTGCACGTGGCGATGACCGAGCACTTTTCAGTGGAAAATATTCCATCCTGTCTATGAGGTCACATTATCTCCGGACCATTGATAATTATCACAGTCGGGGCGTCCAGATAATTTACCTTGAATCATTCCACTGACTACATGTAGCTTTCGGCAGATGGACAAAAAGCACCAATGGTACCATCAGGTAGGAGTATTGCCCATTTTAAACAATCCCAGTGTTATTGTCATGGATAACGCCAGTTAATATAACTTCCGGGAATCAGATACTGTCGCCCCAACCATGAGTAGTCTGAAAGCGACCATACAGGAATATATGACATTGTCGACTTCAGACCATATGAAACGAAAGTTCAACTCATGGAGACAATTCGGCTGAATAAGAAACCAGTTAAGTACAAGACGTATGTGCTGGCGGCACAACACGGCCACGTCTCAAGTACGCTAGTCAGACATTTTGAGGTCAACCCTGTTGTGCCCATCTTGGCTGAGTGTAAAGGGTTCGTGGCAAGTCATAATACAACATTCAAAAGTACATATTCATATACGTCATCAGCGGAGATAAATGCTACCTCAGGAAACCATCTGTAGAACTACAAATACTTCTTTGCTACCCCATAAACGCACATCAATAAAGTACAATAACAGCAGTATTTTAAGACCACCCCCAACTCGGGGACATTTGCACCTGGGAGAATGCACGGGACGGTGTGAGGTCATCACCTCGGGACAGGTGTCAGGTAATTACCTCAGACTATAGGCCATTTCATACATTCATGACAACACCAATATTTTCTAAGTTTATCATAATTTTACCTGTAAAAGTACATTTTAAGGGTAATCACAATGTCGGTTAGGATAGGCTAGATTAGGTCAATTAGCGTTATTTTCATATATGCTCTTTTTATAGTCCTATGACTCGTATTTATTAAATGAAGCCAGAAAAGCATTTTTCTAGCATTTCCGACAGTACTTTAGCGGGACCGGGTGGTCAGGCTCAGGTTGGTGCATATCATCGTATCCCAATTGCGTGGATCGATGCTCATGTTGTCAATCACTAGATTGTCTGGTCCAGACTCGATTATTTACAGTGCGCCATCACATAGCGGGAATATTGCCGAGTGCGGCGTTAAACCTCAATCAACAACAATATTACTGACTGCTGCGTTAAGCAATCACTTCATGACTTGATGTCAAGCTGATGAAGCGCCAGTAAAATCTATCGACGGACAGCGCTCTCGCCTTTCCACAAATGATCGATCACCTTCGCTTCAACTGGCATTATGTAATATATTCCCTGAAATAAAGTTATGTATAAAGTTATATTAAAAACATTCTATAAAGGAGACCTCTTTTATTAAGGAATTAATATCAAAATTTCAAGGGCCGAGAATTGGCTACAAGAGCCGAAATGGATATTAATGGATATATCCTCCTGTGGTCAGAATGAACTCGGAACGGAGCAGAGATTGTGGAGTTTCAAGTTACAAAATGACTTTTAATGGAGATAATATTACCAAGCAAAAGCCACTGTGAAACGAAGTAGGAATGGGGGTGGGTGACTGTTTTCTTTTTAATATATGCTCTGGGCTCTGCAAGCGAGACTAATCATTGCTCTGTTATGGCTAAAGGACCCAAATAACCTAGCAAATCGAAACATAAATTTCATTTGTAAAACTGATCCCCCGATATGGGACCGCCTCCGTGGTCTAGTGGTAGAGCGTCCGCCCGGAGAGCGGAAGGTCCGGGGTTCCATCCCCGGCCGCGTCATACCAAATGACGATAAAAGATGGTACTTGTTGTTACCCTGTCTGGCGCTCGGGATAAGGGGCTAAAACAAGGACCGGTCGGCTCGGAGTCAGTATACTGTGTCTGAGTGGGGTATTCATGTTAAAACTGCGGCATGGTATCTCAGTGTGCTAGCACTATAAATCGGCATCAGTCCGGACTAGTACAATCAGCCACACAGACACACACGTGCATGCATGTCGCTATATGAGTGCAATAATCTTGGACGCGACGTTAAACCCCATTTCACCTCACCTTATTGTAATGATATTGTAATGTTCATGAATGCAACGATGAGGGTCTAGAGTCCTAATTGAGGATGTCAAGCGGAAGGGAGGCCATCTGCTGAAGTTGGTTATGAATCATAAAACTTAATGCTTATTCCTGGACGGATACGACCTACTCCTGACCTCCTACAGCAGCACAGGCTGCCACACGTGTTGGTATCACGTATATAACTGGGGCGGTGGAGTCGCCCACGGGTCGAAGTAGTCCCTGGTCACGCCGAAGGTCCGTGTCCAACTCTTCACGCCGATACAATATGTGAAGCCATGTCTTGTCCCCTGCGGTTAT